TCCTAATCAACCCTGATTCCCCCACCCCACCCCCACACACACCCTATCCCTAGAATGACTCTCCCCCTACTCACCCACCCTGCCCCCGCTCTTACCCCCTCGTCTATACAACGCCCCCCCCCAACCCACCCCTTAAAATGTCCCTACATTACAATAGAGCAATTTACTAAATTTATTTACTCTATTAAATGTCTATTTGAGACAACTCTGGTCACCAGACGTAATGGAAGTATGAGAAGAAAGGGAAAAGCAGGACAATCAAAAATAGAGTTGGAGCGGCTGATAAAATTATGATTAACAAATCGACGTTCTTTTCATATTAAGTGAATTGATTCAGTCATTATTACGGAGTAATCGCAAACTAACAAACTAAGGTTTATAATTTACATTAAACCTCATAAATACTAAATGTATTGTTCTTGAAGACGACAATGACATTTTAGCCTGTGTCACTTTGAGAGGGTTTGTTTTTTGTTGTTTTTGTGTGTTTTTTTTTGTTGTTTTTTTTGGGGGAGCAATGTAACGGGTGTGCTGCTCTATCTGAACGCTGTGTCGGTTATGACAATAACACAGACAGAAAAGCTGGCAGAAGGACTGACAGAATGACAGACATACCACTCAATCAGTACACTGTTGCGTTTCAGCTGATCTGAGAGAGAGAGAGAGAGAGAGTTCTTTGTCCATGGGAATGTCGTCTAATGTCCATAAGGACTTCTTACACGTTGACTAGAATCGTTGATTGCACCCGTTGCTTGTCAACTTGTAGCATGATTAATTTATCGGGGTGTCGTTAAAGGGAAACGATTTTTTAAATTCAATTCGCCATATAGTAATTGTATATAAATTATCTCCCTTGAGGACACGGCCCTGAAAGTTTGGCCACATCGCCTTCTGTCCTCCCACAGTCCACACACAGAGACATGTGACGACATCTTTCCCACAGTCCACACACAGAGACATGTGACGACATCTTTCCCACAGTCCACACACAGAGACGTGTGACGACATCTTTCCCACAGTCCACACACAGAGACCTGTGACGACATCTTTCCCACAGTCCACCCACAGAGACCTGTGACGACATCTTTCCCACAGTCCACCCACAGAGACATGTGACGACATCTTTCCCACAGTCCACACACAGAGACATGTGACGACATCTTTCCCACAGTCCACACACAGAGACATGTGACGACATCTTTCCCACAGTCCACACACATACATGGGACGACATCTCTTTCTACAGTCCACACACATACAATAATTGATCAAATCACTTCATACACTTCACACACATTCAGCAATGAACCCCATCACTTTGTCTCTTGCCACAGTTCTCACAGGACCACAGGAAGGAGCTGATGCTGGCCTATGTCGCCACTGGAGCTAAACGAGCCGTGGAGACGCGTCTTCTGAACTTCATAAGCTACAACTACTACCACCTCCCGATGTATGCTAAACCTGGCATGATTTGACCTGGATCACACTGCCACCTTACCCTCAATGTTGAATTGAGAACCTCTGCTTGAGAACTGTATGAAATAGGTTCAGCCCTACGTAATTTATGGTTGTTAAAAAAAATGAAATGAAGTTAAACTTATATCTTTATATATGCTTACTATTTATTTCCAATTTAAATTTCAATGATAAAATTTCTGAGTGTCTTGTTAGTAAAGAGTATCGAGTATGAATTTGTATAATATTTTACAAATTAATATTTTAAGTACATGGATTTTTAAAAATAAAAATAATTTATTTAAACTCTACAAGAATATCAGAATTTCAAATATATACAAATGAAATGTGTGCCAATTTTTTTTATTTTTTTTTTTACAATGAGGACAAACAAGTGAATTAAATTTATAATAATAATTAACTGTAATATATAATGCCGCAAACTCAATTTTCTGGTTGCAAAATACAATATTTTGTTTTTCCCCATAGTGATAATATTTTCACGAAATTGTTAGCCATTTATTATGATTTATTATAATTCCTTCATCAATGAGTTGTGTTAAATAAATGAACAAAAAATACACATGTAATTGCATATTTTAACAACCTTGTGGAAATGGCTTCAATCTGTAAGCATAAAATAATATTGCCAGATTCTGACCATAAAAAATTAATTATTTGATATAAAAACTTGACTCATCGTAATAAAAGTTGCTGTAGAAGGCAATAGAAAGAGAACATTGTACAAATCAAATAAGGAAAGAAAAAGATGGTGCAATCATTTCAAAATTAATTCATGTTGACCAGTCACTTTTAAGCAGAAATTTATTTAGAGTTAGAGTGAAATAATTTGAATAAATGTTCTCTTTTGTTGAAAACCGAAATTGTATCTTCTAAAATACTTTGACTGCTGTCTGTCCATGTGTCCAGTTGAACGTTCTCACTTTTTGAACTTAAAAACTATTGATTTCTTTAGCTAGTAATTATGACTCTGGGGAAACAAAAGTGTTTGTTTTGGAAAAAATGTGAATGGGAGATTTTGTTCAGAGATATTTTGTTCATGATCAACTTAGTAGGAATATTACAGAAGGTAATCTTTGGAAAAAGAATCTGAATTATCAATAAGGGTGGGCTCTGCAATTTTTCAATGAGGTGCAAAAATCACCTTAAATGTATATGCTTCCCCCCCCCCCCCCCCTTCCCCCCCCTTTTCACCACCATAAGTGGGGGAAATTGAAATAATTTAAAAAGTCAAAATGACAAAAAGTATGTTTTTCTAATTTTTGTTCTCATCTCTGGTTAGATTACACAGCCACTACTTATTTATGCTGCTATAATATTTTCATTAAATAAGTTAAAATATAAAAAATTCATTGTTTACTTCAATCTACACATTTGTCTACACATTAAATTGTGAGTTATACACCTTAAATTTATTTTATGCTTTATAACATATGGGTCTGTAAAGGTGTGTGTTTATCAACAAGTCCAACAATTAGCATGGCACCTTTTTTTTTTCTAAAGTTTCTTTATGTTCTTATTTTATTTATTTGCAGTTTGCCTGAACTCTTTTTTTTTTTTTTTTTTTTTGGATTAAATATCTATGAATGCACAGAGGACAACTCAATTTTATACTTGCCCTTTCAATTTTTCACTTATTTCTTTAACTCTTGCAGGTCCTTTCACATTTAACCTATTAATTTTTTTTTTCTTATTTTTTTTTTTTTTTTTTTTTTATTTTTTTTTATTTTTTTTTTATTTTTTTTTTTTTTTTTTTTTATGGATTAAATATCTATGAATGCACAGAGGACAACTCAATGTTATACTTGCCCTGTCAATTTTTCACTTATTGCTTTAACTCATGCAGGTCCTTTCACATGTAACCTATTAATTATAAATATCAGGACCTGAATTTCTTTTATTTAAAAAAGTTAATAATGATAAAGAAATGGCTCCATTAATTTACAATTCAGTAATCTTTCTAAAATATTAAAGAATTAGTCATAGTAACTACAGATTTTAACTCTAGAATCAATTATTATTTTTTAAACAGGGATCCCCAACCTGTGGCATATGTTTAAGGAAGATGGATTTAATTATAATATTAACACAAATTATACTTTTAACTTAAGGATATCTTAAAATCTTGAAACTTTTCTGGTAGATTAAATTCTGTTAAAATACACACATATATATACATATATATTTTTATTATCCTTACATTTCCAATTTCAGGTATTCTTTGGAAATTAGTTTTTCAATCAGCACTTTTCTTTAATTCAATATGGTCTTTTCTTGAAAAATGATGGGAGCCACTAAAGAATTAATCACTATTTTTGATGTGCCCATATTAGGATGAAATGAGTAGGCTTATGCTTAACCATTTTGACATGTCAGGCAGTCCTGGCTCTGGTGAATCAAATTACCTAAATATTACTTTTTAATAATAAATTTCATGGATTCATCTCAAATTTGTGACATATTATAAATGTTATTAAAAACAATTAATAAAGACACAATTTGCTTTTTGGATAACCTTATAACTAGTGTTCAATCTTTCATTGCTTCTATAATGCCTAATAAATTCAAGTGAGCTGGGAAAATGTCCTTTGATAATTGGTTTTCAATAACACTTGTCAAATTTAATTTTTTTTTTTTGGGGGGGTAAAATTAATGATTAACATTTCTTGGAATTTTATCACAGGAATAATTGAGGCAAATAAATGCATAAATTTAATTTCAAGGGCAGTATAGTGTTTTGTGGAACCTTTATCATTTTACAAAATTGTTTAGGCCTTATTTTGGGGGGAGATTATTATAAAATTGCATTAACTGCAGGCTTTCATGAGACCAAACTTATAAATTTAACATTAGACTTGTAATCGCCAAGCATTCCTCCTACAAATTACAAAGAGGAGATTAAATCCACCATAAAAGAGAGGCTTTATTTGTTACAGAAATTTAGATTATTTAAAATATAACATATTTGTTTTTAAAGTAGCAAATGAAGTGTTGCTTTCTTTTAAATAGTAAAAAAGCAATCATGATAGTTTACTTTATAAAAGGAATGGTCAAAGACGGGTCAGCTTAGGTATAATAAAAATACTCATTAAATTACAACATATTTTTCATCACATAATGTGAAAATGGTGGATGTGCCACAAACCACAATCCGGTGGGGCAAGTGTCACAAGATGATTGATAAACACTGTACTGAATCTATCATAGAAACCCCATTAGATAATGGATCTGGTACTTTCTCTGACAAATGGAGCTACTCCTTTGATATTTACAAAGGTTATAAAGAGTAATGTACAATTAATTATGGTCTGTATTTACACTTAATCAATTTTGAATCCATGTGTCACCCACACTGATTTTAATGTACAAAGTAATATTTAAGATTATTTGTATTTTTTTCACAAGCCACCTAAATTATAAGTTTTGCTGATCTGTTCATTCTTTTTCTGAGTTTACTTAAGCAGACAATGGAAAGTCATCAAATAAAATAAATAATTTTTAAAAATCATCGAAAAACAATTTTATGAAACAGAAAAACTTTATTGAACTGGACCAACAATATTTGTACAAGTTGGCATTGATCAATTTAACATATTCAGACATGAGCATTTATGCCATAGAAAAATAAAATACTCTACTCACATTCAAAGCATAATGTGCACACGTCACCTTAAGTCTTATCTAAACAAGTTTGAACATTTTAATCAAGAACTAACAAAATGAAAATTGCACATAACGCAAAATGTTACTCCTAACTATTTGAACCAACTTGTGCTTAATTACAAACATCCTCTATGGGAAAATAACAGTGATAGGAAAATGACAGTTTTTCAAAGAAAAGTTCAAGTTTAATTTCTGTGTATCTTGAGATCCAAACAGATTTAATGGGATTTTAAATTTAATCAATTTATTAAAAGATTATTGCATAGATTTTAATTGGGTCCTCATATCGAATCATGGCTTTCACCACATAAGCTAGACCACTTTGTCTGTGTAATTATCTTAATTACAAAATTTGCAATTTCCTAATTTTAAAAAAATTTTTGAATAATTATTGTCATTGTTTCGATAACTGAAAATAAAATATATGTGTGAGTTTTTATACTTACCGCCGCTGCGATCCTGAAAATACATCTTAGACACTTCAAAGATAAAAATATTTTAGAATACTTCGTTAAAAATAAGAGCTTAGTTCCAATTAAAAACAGTACAAAGATATATCCACCTTTTGAATGCTTTAAAGAAGCAGTAGCAATACTCAAAAGCAACAGTTGAAAAGACAGGAAAGATTGTTGTTTTCTTCCATTTCCAGTTGATAGCAAATCAGAACAGAAGCTAATACTTCCAAAAGACATGCAAGAAGATAATTAGCAACCATACCAAACCTAATAGTTTTTTTTTAAACTTTCTGATGGAATCAAGGAAATCATAAGTTGAAACCAAGATTTCACAACATTTAGCAACCAGTTAGTTTTTAAGTCAACAGTCACGAAGACTCATATAGTTGAACTTGCACTTTAACCACAATAAGTGCAACACAAGAATGTTCTAGTACCAAAATAACCGGTTTATTCTAAGTGGTTGGCTCAACTTAAAAATCTCTCATGTTCAAACCAAGATGTGAAACTTTTTAAAAAACTTCATGAAAATTATTGCTTGTGATTCACCTGCTCAGATCACCTGAAGAAACAAACAAAGAATTTAAACAATGAAGAAGTAGTTGATTGACAACAGAAGGAAGGAAGGAAACGAGAACCAGTCAAAGCAGGAAAAGATGAGAGGAAACCAATTCATCTCTATAAACTTTACATTTCAAGGGAAACAAGGAAACAGTCGGAGGCCCCTTGAAAGTCTGTGGACAAATCCTGTGGAATCAAAGATTGAAGGAATTAAATAGTTCACAAAGAGGCATTGTACAAGTCCCCGTCTGCATTAATGGCAATCTGTCGAACTCGTAACACAAACAACTTCATGAAGAAGAAACACAACATCTTGAACTCTGTTTTTGGAGTGATTTAAATCTATAAAAATTTCTAGCTTTTGTTATTGCTAATTAAATTTGCTAATTAACTTCTCCGAACAGTTTAAATTTTGAAAAGGTAACATAATAAATATTTGTATCTGATATTTGGTATGTCTGCCATTGTCTGCTTTATAAAATATAAATAAGTTTAAATGACAAAACATTTATATTAAAAGTTGATACATCCCGGTACAGTGCTACGTCTTCAGCTGTTGCCATTAACGGACTAAATGTACAATACCTCTTGCAAAAAACAAGCATTCACATTCATTTTAAAGCAATGCTTAGAACATTGAAAAACAGACCCAACATTTTTTTTTTACATACACATTAGATAATGAAAATAAGAAAACCAATTTTGTACAGTGTTGCAACAATCAAAATGTACGCAAATATAAACTGGAAGCATATAACAAGGATTTGAGAATCTTTTTTATAAAAAAACATTATTCTGTTGCCTCATTATCGGAGTCCAGATGAACATCTGCATTATCAGGAATTTTATTTTTATTTTTACCTTCACTTTCTTTATCAAACCCACCCTCTCTGTCCCCTGATTTCCTGTCAGAATGTCTGTAATAATCTTTTACTTTTTTGCCCTTCGTGTCTCTATCATCTTTTTTCTCCCTCTTAATCTCAACCTCGCTTTCAGCGCTACTCTCACTATCCTTTCTCTTGTCTTTTGAGCGTTGACTAACATGCCTCCTTTCACTATCATGCCCGCCTCTTTTTTCTTTCTCCTTCCTCTCTTCCCGACCCTCTCTGTGAGACCTCTCTTTATCCCGGGTGGAACCCACCTTCTCACTGGAATCATGCCTCAATTTCTCCTCCCCTCTCCTGTGCCTCCTCCTGTCCTTCTCTTCACTTACTTCCCTCCTTTTATCCCTTTTCTCCTCATGCCTCTTATCTCTCAGCCTCTCTCTTGCATCCTCAACACCATCTTCATCGCTCACTTTATTCCTCTCCTTATCCACATGTCTATCCTGACTCTCCCTGTGTCCTTTTCTTCTAATCTCACGCTCACCCACCCTAACAACATCCTGCCCCCTCTCTGCCACCCTAACAACATCCTGCCCCCTCTCTGCCACCCTAACAGCATCCTGCCCCCTCTCTTGTTTTATATTAATCCCCTCCCTCTCTTCATCTGAACTCTGATTTGAACCTATCACATCCTTGCTATGTTTTCTTTTTTGAGCACCAGAAGTCTTTGAGCTCTCCACTTTACTATTACCACCCTCACCTTTCCCAATCTCCAGGGACTCGTCACTGTCTGACTCACTGCCCTCCTTCTCAACCACCACCGTCCGCCTGGTCTTCTTCTTTGAATCCCATTCCCTGGCCTCATCGTCATGTTCTACTTCTGTGTTCTTTAATTCAACATGCCTGCCTAACCTACTCGACAGCCCAAGCCCTGTATTCTCTTCTTCTAATTTGACTGATTCCTCCCTAGGGTCCCCTACAGCCTCCCCAGGAGTTTTGTTTCTGTTGTTCTCATCCCCGGCCACTTCCTCTTCATCCCCTAAAAGACCATCCTCCCGAAGCCTCATTTTTATCCTTTCTTCTCTTTTATATTCACGCTCCATCAATTCTTTTATTTCTTTCTCCAGGCGATCTCTTCCCTCTTGAAGCATATCTGAAATAGAAATTATTTCATTAATACTTTCAGAATTATAACTTTAGTTAACTCGTAGTGTTTTTGAAATTTAATTAGGGCTAACAATCCCAAGTGTCTAGCGCATAAATGGCATAAGTTTTGTTTTAAAGATAAAAGATGTGGGCATGAAATTAGAGTTTAAAAATATTAATTGAAAAAAAATTGCTGTTGTAAAATTATTTTTTTTAAATTTTGGATGATACATGCCACCCTCTTCATCTAAGATCAGTTCAATCAAAGCGAATTCTTTCTCCTCGAATAAGAACCAAGAGTTATAAAATTCCCCAGTCTGTACGACTTACAAGCATGCTCTCTCAGTGGTTACAAAATCTAAATGATTACTAACTAGTTCATTGATGGCTGCTTTCTACACTAGAAAACTACTTTAGATGTCTTGTATTTAAATGGTAATAATTGTAAAATGTTCTCTAAGTTAAAATGTGTATTTATTTATATTTTGTTCTGATGAAAGATTAAAATTGACTGCTAGCAATGATCTCACCATCCACAACTTTCTTGGAGTCCTTCAGCTTGTTTTCTACCAATGTAGAGCTCTGGACAGGCATCCAGAAGATTCTTGGCTTTGTCTTTGTGGCTATGAAATTTTTTAACTTCTCCATCTCTGCTTCCCGCTCTGAGTGCTGAAAGATTGAGATAATCCGAGAAAAAATTTATTTTACGAACTGTCGGGTATTAATGAGCCTGTAACAAACTGTTGTACTTACTGCAATGATTAAACGATACACACACAATATTTCCATCTGCATTTAGTATGTATATTTCATATCAGATACATTTTACACTTGTCATTGGTATCTTAATGTGCCTCACCTCCTGGACCATCTCCATCTTTTGTTGGAGCCTTGAGATCTTGGACTGTTCCAGGTGCATTTCCTCCATCAGAAGCTTGGTCTCTTGTTTAAACTTTCGTTTCTCCTTTTCTGCATTTTCTTCCAGTTTCTCCTCTATCTTTTTGCGCTGCACCTCCTGGAGGAATTAAGTATGGTAAAATTTATATTTTTATTAGTCTTTATTACATTTTCATGAATTAAAGAATTGTAGGGGGGAAAACAGGAATTGTTGCATTTAAATTTAAGACTCAAAATACAAAGGCTTATAGATGTATATTTGTAATTCTAAAGCTTTAATAATTTGTATGGTGCAATTTCCTAAGGCAAAACTCTTTCTGAGAAATGAAATTTTTTATTTATAAAATCAAATCACGTATTTGCTCACTTTAAATTACTCAAGTTTTAAGTATTTAACATTGAATCATATTTGGTTCAATTAGAACTATTTCATTCATTCTCACCTTAGTCTCCAAGGTCTTGGATTCTGTTTTAAATTTGTTGAGTGTTCCCAACAGAAGCCCAAACATTCTTCTATTCCTACAAATCAAATAATAATGGATATCAATTAATAATAGGTAAGTTTAAACTATAGTCAGCTGTATACTCATACTCTTTATGCCTTTCTGTTAACATATCTGTTTTTTCAATTCTTAAGTCTAATTTAGCAATATCTATAAATTTTGAGGAAGGCCTTCCCATTTCTAACTGAAATTATTCCTGATTAAATCAAAATAACAACTATCAACTATTTGAGGCTGATATCAAGACAAAGCACATTTTAATGCCCCAAATTACAAAAATTCCATCATAATTTAAACCTCATATTTAGAATCTTCAATCAAACCTTTGCATGCCCTCCTTATCTTTGGTCTGCTCCTGCATAATCTCCTGTCTATTCTTGGCTTCTCTGGAGGTAGAAACTACTGAAGACTGCACAGACAGCTGTGAGAGACAAAATAACTTTTACATTCAGAAATCAGCACTTGGCAAACCCATTTTTGACTCTTTCCTATATTCTTTTTTTTAAATTGCATTGTTTTGTTCTCACCACTAATGAATTATGAAATTATAAAAATCCTCATTATTAGAAATGACAATTTAATGTTTATTAAATGAAAGCATTTGTGATTTGTGAAACAGAAAACCATACTGGAAATCAATTAATTTAATAAAAAATGTATAGGTTAATGTGGATAAATTAATATTATTTATTTAACTTCTTCTTGGCAGACTTTTTACAATGTAACTGGTTTCTTTAAATAACAGCAAAAAAATTATTGTTCTAAAGATATGTTCAAAATATGCTACTACATATTAGAACATAATAATTAAAATGTAGTAAGCCAATATGTGTTTCAACCTCTTGTATGAATTAAACTGAATCAGCCCTTTAGGAGAAAATTAATTATGAATAAAAAAAACAGGTTGCAATAAAAATGTTGCTTTATGAATAAAAAAACAGGTTGCAATAAAAGTTTTACTATAGTAACTTAGAATTTATTAGAAGCAAAATAAATATTAAAGGATACTTATTCAATCCAGCAACATTAAAAGAAAGTAAATGCTCAGGACATTTATTTTTGTAACAAAAGCATTTACCTTATTTGGTAATTCCTCTTCGTATGGGCTGTCTTCTCTCTCCCTCCGTCTTGCTGCAACTGGAACTGGCCCCAATCTAAGAAGGGGTAAAAACAAGCTTGCTTAAAATTTAACAAACAATCTAAAAATAACATAACAGCACAGAGAAAAATAAAGAATTCTACAGGAAATGTAAACATATATGAAGAAACTTATCAACTCAAAAGAGAACATATTGTTCAAGCAAAGACCGCAACAAATAAAAGAGATTTGACCTAATTTCTTTTACAAAAGAAGGCTACATCTACAAAACTAAATGCCAAACAGACACTACCTAGAGAAAGCTCCTCCGATGACTCTTCTCTTTGATGGGGGGCCATTGTCTTCCATGATGCCTCTCCTAAATTAAAGGAAAATGTCCAGCAATCACTTCCATAATATTTCTTCAAGAAGACCACAGATCATTCAAATATACTTCAGCATTTATTGAAATGTAATTATGTTAAACAACTTGTTAATTCACAAATAAGTTCATATATATTTATGAATATGCTATGAATATGAACACATATTGTATGTGCTATATGAATTTTAAAAGCACTCACAATCTTTTTAAAAAATTAGTTTTAATAATTACGTTAATTAAAAATCTATGATTCCCTCAATTAAAAATGATCCATACCTTGCCATGCCAAACAGTCTACCTCTACCTCTAGCATTTCTACCATTGAAGCCATCTTCGTCTCGCTCTCCTCCATCTCCACTGAGTATACGCCTTATTCTAAAAGATAAAGTTATTGCATACCATGATTTTTTTTTTACAATATTTTTGCCATTGCAAAATTTTTTTAATTGATAATTTTGTCAGTTAAACATAATTTAGCATTAGCATAAGAATAAGTAAAAAAAATTAAGACTAAGAATATATGCAAAATATTTTATAGGCCTATAAAATTAAGTTCATATTCTTGATATCTGATAGACTATTAAAAATTATAGGCCTACAACTTGTTACAAGTTTAACATTTAGGATGAGCTGCTATTTATTTGTATTTAGCTTCAGGTTGAGTGTGGTAACAAAGTGTTCTCATTTCAGTTTTTAAAGCTGAAGGAACTATGGTGTAACAAGAGGCAGAGATTATACATCCAATAACTGAAAACATCCACAAGATAGTAGTTTTAAGTTATTTTAACTAAGTTAGCCAGTCTGAGCAGAAAATATTTTGAAGAGTCTCTGTCAGGTCAGAAAGTGTTTTTCACTGTGAGCATAAGATAAGTTTAACACACTTTTAATTTATTTGGCTGAATAATAATAATGTTACCACCTTCCTAACTGGTACACCAAAAAGGTAATAAAAGACAATCGCCATGGGTTTTTGAATTCAGTTTTGTGATTTTATAAACAGATTCACTTTTAACATGTTAGTACCATAAAAGATTAATGCTTTTAATTTATGTCAATAATTAAACTGGCATTTAATGGTGATGCCTGAAGTGTAAGACTATTCCCAAAAATAAATTGCCTCTACAGCTCAAATTGTTACTATACCAAGGCCTATGAATTTTAGAAATGACTGAAGAATGATAAGTCCTAATCTTTGTTTATAATTTTCTTTATTTTGATTTTGTAATAAGAATTTTAATAAAATAATGCATCATTTATACTTTTGTCATCTAGAGACTTTAAAAAATTCAACAAAATTATGCAAGTAAGACAATTTTTGTTAAAAGTGTAAATAAAAATTGCATGCATAAATTATGCACATCAGGATATCTCATTTGCATAATGATTGCGGTTCGCTTTGATAAAAACAAGGCAGTGTCTACAAGTCAGACGACCGGACAAATAGTGCGCGAGATCAGACCGGCAGTCACGCTTTATTTAACATTGTCACTTTTTAACCATTTGTTCATTATGTATACCAACAATATTTCTAGTATGTCCAGACTAACTTAAATTTGTTGAAATGAAGTACCGCAAACTCTGATTGACTATTAGCGGTCACATAACGAGGCTGACGGACTAATATATCGAGCAACTTTGTTACAGCGGTTATGTAACTTGGTTGAATACATCATATCCGGACGAATATCTCGAGAGATTATTCGTCCATTCCCCCAACATGCAGACACTTCATAAAAACAAAGCAAGTGACATCATCAAAATGTATCACTTCCCGTCGTACCCGATTTTTTTTTTTCCGCTTTCGAATTTTTATGACAGGTGAAAAATTATAATTTTGGAAAATCTGAATTTTAAGGGGTTTTTCGGAAGGTTGGAATGAGGGGTAAAAAATCTGTATTATTCATTAATTCCAAAAAATCATAAGGGTTGGCAGGTCTGCATCCATAATTAATAAAATGTCACAATATTTTGGCAGCTTTTGGGACACACCCCATCCCAAATCAACACAAAATTGTCACACACATACCCTCGCCTCATAATTTGACATACATTTTTTTTTTTTAAATACTACAACGTTTACATCATCATGATCATACCACAATCTGGTGAGCCCCCCCCCCCCCCCCCCTTAATCTATGGGCGACCAAGCCAGTACTAGTACTATTAATTTAAAAATTATTTATATACTATGACTATGACTATACTAATATAAGTTAAAGTTATACTTAGCTACAGGTAATATAGTAAATTCTAAGTAACTTTAACTTATTATTATTATGACTAAGTATAAGTAAGTAAATAATATAATATCTACTAATACTAATTATTAGTCTTTTATCAGTACTCTTACTTACTCTTAATCACTGATTAAATCAGTTATTCTTAGTCTTTCTTAACTCTTAGTAGAAATTATTTACTTAGTCATTTACAACTGCAATTTAACCCTGATACGTACCCCGGTCGACTGGGATCCCGGCCTGTTAATTTCTTAATATTTTCATTGTAATTTCGAAGCTTATCCTTAGCTTTTTCTATTTCACTTTGCAAAACCTCCACTCCACTAAGTTCTGCCATGTTGGATGGATTCCTCAAAACAAAAATTGTAAAAATAAAACCACTTCCTGTTAAAAGTGAAGCAGTTATCTTACTTTATGTCTATTTACAGCATTGCCCACAATAATTTCAAGAATACCGTTACTTTAATTATTTATTTCTATTTATTGTTAAGAGTAGAAGAAAAACATTGGCTAAAAAGGGCCTACACCTAGCATAATACTACTCTCTGTTCTTTTGTCAGTTGGAATTGAATGTTGTAATTACTAAAGACTAAAAATTTGGTCCAGTAATTGTGCTCTTAATTTTTAAATTTTAATATTATCAAATTAATTATGGCTGATGAAGTTATATTTGAGTTCTTGCACATGGAAATGGTTGATTATGTCTACAGAGAAGCATCCAAAGATGAACGAGTTAGTTTGAGTTTAGGTCGTAGTGTAGAGTTTAGCATATTTTACTTAATATTAATAAGTTAGTAGGACCAGTTTTTAGTAGGTATATTTATGAATAAAGTAGGTCAAGGCAGTGGCATACCTAGGGGGACCTTACAGGGTTTTCCAGCCCCTGGCAGCACTTTTTTCGGTAACTTATTTGAAATTTAAAGCACATGGTGGCCTTTTCTTCCAACTGCAGGCACTGCAGATGATTTATTTTGTTAAAGGCTTAAGGGGGAAGGGCAAAACTGTTGACCCACCCCTAGCTTTACCACTGGGTCTACTGAAAGTTAAATCAAATAAATGTAAACCTGCCAAAATCACATTTTTTCATTCATTTTTATATCAAACACAATTAGGCTTTATCTAAATTGGCTTTAATATAAAAGGGGTTAAACCAACCCTGTTAACTGAAGTGGGCAAACTAGCATTGCACAACAAAAGTCAAGATACAGAAAGTAATGAAGTAAAATTGGGGTGAAATAAATAAAATCATAATCAATGGTGCAACAGCCTCAAGTCGCTTGCCTCTAGCTGATGTAAATCTTCTACATCCATCTCTATTTTGGTCTACTCATAAACGTTCTGCCCTTAGTCTGTAAACCTGGCTCCTCTATGCTCTGGCATTCTTTCAAGGTGTCCTATCCTTTTTTAAGTGCAGCGACACGTACAACTGGGTGAAACTAAAGACTTATTTAATTTAATAGGTTGAAAAAATTATACAAAGTGCCCTTCAAGATTTTAAAAGGTATTAACCTAAATATTATTACTTTTTCAGGAGCAGTGCATATCAAAGCTTGAGGCATTGGGTTTTCGTGTGGGACAGAGTCTTATTGAAAGGTTAATTGTTGAACATTTAAATCACCTTTGTGTTGACCTGTCTTAAGTCCCTCTAAATTTAATAAACATTAGATGATACCATGAGTAATGCACTCCCTTTTGATTAAGAATTGACAGATATTTTTTGTATGTAAATATCCAACGTGAAATTTTAATTAATTTTTTTTTCTTTGCAGATTTACCAGGGAAAGTTCCCGTTTTAAAGATGAACTTGACACTATGAAGTTTCTCTGTAAAGATCTTTGGAATCTTGTTTATAAGAAACAGATAGACAATCTTAGGACTAACCACCAGGTTTTAATCAAGGGTTTCATTATTGGGAAAATAGTTTAAAATACTAAACTGTAATGCAAATAGCAAACACAATTTTAAAAATATTTTTCATAGTCTCCATAGGCATTTTCTCTATGATACAAACTTTATTTTATTTCCATTTTCAAACTATTTCTTGCAATTCCAGGGTGTCTATGTATTGCAAGACAATAAGTTCAAATTTCTAGTTCAAATGTCAACCGGAAAACAGTATATGGAATCAGCACCAAAGGTGAGACTATATTAAAGCCTTTTATTTAATAAACTAGACTAAATTAATTTAATAAAATAAATTATTAGATATAAATAGACATATGAAAAATATTTATTTAAATATGAAAGTAGGATAGTGTTACATTCAAACTGGACAAATCTTAAGCTAAGAGATGTGACATTTTTGAAAAGCAGAAATAATACTTCTTGAATTATAAATAAAATTACAAAAGAATGCATTGTTTCTTGAAAATTCCAGTACTTGGCATTTCCATGTGGAATGATAAGGGGTGCACTCTCAAATCTTGGCATTAATTGCATAGTCACAGCAGAAGTCAGTGCTATGCCAGCTTGTAAGTATTTAACTCTTTAAAAAAATTTTTTTAGCCTATTCCACCTGTTACAAAAAATAAGTCATTTATGTTTTTGTGTTTGCTGTTTTTTGTATTCTGCCATGACTATTCACATTATTTAATGATTTCTTTTAAAAAATATAAAATATTTAATGGGATATAATTATTACCGTATACTGGAGATGCAACCAGTTAATTTATAAATTCATTTTTTAATTCACATTTGCCCTCCATTTTTACAGGTAAGTTTCAAATACAAATTCAAAGATCATGATTCTTTCTGCGAGATTGTCAGAATTCAAGGGACCAGGCTGAGACAGTTGAGAGGGCTGTGACATGAGTACATATTTGAAAAGATTGCCATGATTTTAACTTGGGTTTTTAAAATTCAGTGTGCTGTAATTTGATTGTTTTCAAATGGTAAAATTTAGTTGAAAGTAATATTTCTTAAGTAAAAATGCGATCCAAAGTGCTGAATTACATTATATGCAGATTATACTTAAATTGTGTGTTGACTTAATGTAACCTTTTAAGAAGTACTTCTCTAATGAATGAATGATTTCTCATTTCAAGATGATGTGCAATTTATTTTGTCAAACATAGCATATTTTGTCCATTTTATGATTTTGCCACAAATTACAACTTTTCTTTTTTTTAAAATGACATGACTGCAAGATGATTCACTTTATAAACTGTCTATTTTGATAGATTTACATAGTTTTTTAACCAAATGGGTGGCATTTAGTCAGATATCGCTTGCAACATATGGATCTGGATAACTTATTAAGACCATTTGTAAACCTAATGATCAAGACTTTCAATTTCTGAAGACAAGGTTTTCCAGGCTCCTCAATACCTTACAACGGAAATTCTCAAAATTGTTGGCCACTGACTCCATTGTTTCCTAAAGCCCATCCCTAGCACTATCCCCTGTTATAAGCAATTAACGGGCCAGTAGTTTGAGCATCTCTCAAAAGAATACTTTTTTGTTGTTGTTTTTTTCATTTCGCAATGACTTAAAATTTTGCTTCAGCTCAATATTATATTTAACTGAATTAGGTCTTCCTACCTTATTCAAACTGCCTCAGTATATTTAGCATGCCCAAATGGTCTTACAATACTTGCATAGTTGACAATTAAAATAACTCATGAAGCCCATGCTCTGTTAAACTGAGTAAATTTTAATACAAAAAGTGATTAAATGAGTAAATGTTAATACAAAAGTGTGATTACTGGTACCGGAGTACATTTTCTACATGAATCATAATTTGTTTTAAATCATCTTAAATTTTAGGCATGTATGATTTTTTTTTCTTTAAGAAAAGCTCTTCACTTGATATTGTTTATATTATATGTTCTTTCAATCCATTCATTTGCATTTATGAAATAATTATAGATGTGTGAGTAGACTTGTAATTTATTAAACTTGTTAATGCTGAGATTAATTTAAGTTTTCTTTAAACCTCAGGGCAGCATGGAAAAATCGTTATGTTGTTTTCCAGATGTCAGAGGAATTGTTAATATGTTGTTATTGTGATGTAAGAAGAATTGTTAGTATGTTGTTGAGGTGGAAGTACACATTTGGATAGGCTTCAGCTACTTTTCAGACAAAAATAAAAAAATAAGCTGAATTGAAAAGGTTTATTTGAACTTTGATAAACAGGTAAATCTTGCTACTTAAAACATTCAACTTTAATGATGGAACAATGTACAGTAATGGAACACAAAAGCGCACATGACATCTTTCAATATCAGTAATTAATATGAACACTGAGTTATACAACAAGTTATAATTATCATCTAAAACTCTTACCATGCTGCAAAGTTGGGCATTTTCACAGTTCACTAAGAAACAATGACATCTAATGTCCATCTATTTACCACTTGCTTAATTGTTACCTCATGCATTTTTATTAGGAACCCCCATACACTGGATTTGTGTTTTATGTGATTTCCTTTCAAAAACACATTTCACTGTTACCATAGATGTAAGGTAAATTCCCTTTTCCTTAAAGGTAATACAAGTTACCATTAACATAAAAAAAATTAAATGTGTATTTTTGGGGAAGCTACATAAATGGTTCACAATAAAAATTACATTAACACAAAATGATTTAACAAAAAAATTATGAATGCACCAAGAGATGACAAACACACAATTTTAATTTTTTTTTGTTAACAGACAATACTAATACATTTCAAAACAAATTTTACATCATTACAAGTGGTTAAAATTCATTCCTTTGTAAGATTAAAAACAAGTAATGATTGGCATAACAATTATGAATGAAAAACATATATTTTTTTAAAGATATTAACTTTTATGTCTGTTTTTTTTTTGTGAAATAAAATCAAGATGAAACATTGTTTATGAAACAATGTCAATATGAACAAAAATATTAATAGATGTTCAACAAAATCTCAAGCAGTAGCTAAAATTTCAAATGTGCTATGCATTAACGTCAGGCTAATTGTTCTTTTTACTTTTAAAAGATTTATGGTTTACAAAGAAATCCACCAATATTAAAAATGTTACTTGTAGCTGAAGATTTTTTATAATTAAATGGTGAATTATTCAGTTTAAATGATATATGACAAAGTTGCAACAAAAAGATAATTCAAATTTTTCTAAAATTGTAGTTGCCATTAAAACCTTGATTACAAACCACATCAATTGTGCGAAATCACACTTCTGAATGAATAGTTAATTTTATGAAAAAAAGTATTGAAGGGATTTTGCCAGAAACAAAATAATTACAAAAACTTAAACTAAAAAAAAGCATTTTCATTGCTCCCTTGATTCTCATGGTAGTTAAACACTGCAAACAATTATGAATTAAAAATTAAGTATTCAGGAACAAAGATTTTTAAAATGTTTATTTTACTTCCTACTACTTAAGGCCAATAGGGCTTACACGCAGCTAATGATTTGCTAACAGAAACTTAACTCAACACAGAATGTAACATTTCTTGTAACGAGAGCATTGACATATAACAACGCTAAATAAAAAGAAAATACAGTAGCATGCAAATCCCTATACAATTAATTCATAACAATTTTATATTAATTTCATAAAATAAAAATTATATACTATTACAATGCCACAAAACCTTAAACCATTGAAATTAAGTCTGTACAGCACAAGATAGAAAATGTAAAGGTTTATGTGGAATTATTGAGTTTTTAAATTGTAAAAAAAGATTATTTGAAGAAATGAAACTATTTTCTGATTTTAAAAATTTTAACCAAGTTTTTTTACCGTCCAATCTCGAGTTTAAATTTAAAATGGTAGCATGTGACAAGTCGCTACATAATGATTTTTTCAAAAAGTATGAAAACCAGACGGATTTTTAAAGTACCGTTAGCAAACACCACATTAGAAGTTCAAATTTTCAATAGAAATTAAGGCATAAAAAAAATTGACAGGCATCAAATATTAATCATACAAGTAAAGAGTTAACTCCTTACAAATAAAACTTTACTGACAATGGTCAACCAAAATAAAAGCTTAAAGAATTCATACAGAGATGTTACAGATAAAAGAAGGGGTTACTGAAATTAAAAAGGATCTTTAAGGTAACAAGTTTTATGAACTTATCAAAAGGTCAGTTTAAACATTTAACCATTGTACAAAACCAGATATCTGATGGCAACCTGGTCAGAGTTGTGAATGATGTACTCATTGTGGGTGATTCTGGCCGGTGGGTGGTAGTGCATCTTCTGTACCTGGCCCAGTGATAATGTCGCACCTGCAAAGTAAAATTAATTTGAATCAATGCAGTTTAGAAATAATGGCAGGCAGCTAAGCCCATCTATGAAAAGTAAAGGCATAGTCTCACTGTGTTTCCTTCAACACATTTTAAAACAATAATCTTTATTATAGTTCACTTTTGTTTTTAAAGATTTCAAACTTTTGAGAAGGCTTTTAAGTTTTTTAAATAAATTAAATATTTAAAAAATTTTAAAATTTGTTGAAAGATTTTTTTTGAGTGGTATATATACCTAGATAGGAAAATTATTAGTGTAAAAAGTGAATTCTAAATTAATGCATACATACTTCAAAATACTGTATTATTTGAGTGTAAAAAAAAAATTATATAAAAAAAAAAAACATTTTAAATACCGGGTACCATTTTTAAAAATTAAGAAATATGGCCAACACGTCTTTTTAAACTCAAATGCTGGCATGTGAATTTCAGTAAATAAAATTTTTTAGTCATCTTGGCTAAATATTTTCATGTATCAGTGTATATTACATTTTTTTTTTAATATTCTAAATCCAACTAAAAATTCAAAATGCATTAAGTTTTGTAAAAGAAAACTCTTTTTACCAAACGGCAGTCTTGCATCAAAATCTGGAACTGGAGCATTATTGCCAAGAATCTTCAAACTGTTAATGTCATCATCAAGGTGGTCCTCATCACCATGTTTCACATCGATTTTGGGGTTACCAAGGGCCACCTAAAACATGTATCGTATCAGTTGTTAAGAATGTGAGAATCACTGTTAGTGTGAACTTGTCAATGTGATTTGCGAGTGTCAGAGGTATTATCATGGCTTATTGTGATTGGATGAAATGAGAAGCATAATAAACAAGTTTATGAGAATATAAGGTGTGTGAGCATGATGATAGTTGATGTACAATAGTTGATGTTAGTTCCAGAGACATGTGTTGAGAGGTCAGTGTAGCTATTGATGTTGAGTTCTGAGCCTTGGCCAGAAATTCTAGTTGATGTTCAGTAGCCCAGAAGTGTGGCTAGTTGATGTTGGTTCATATAGTTTTGCTAAGAGTTGGCCAGAAGCTCTCATCAGTGTGTTTATTATGAATATTTAAGAAGAACTGTATTTTATGAAGTGTTTCTGTTGTTATTGAATGCAAGTGTGATGACTCTTGGGGATAAGTGCTTTACCCAATACCCTAGACAATGGTGCCAGAAATATTTAAAGGGGTCGGGCAAGAGGACCGCCCCCCAAGAAACCTTTTCTTTGACATCAGTGATATCTTTAGTTTAACTTGTTAATAAAATAGTGATATCTTTGCTTTAACTTTGTATTAATAGAAACTATTAAGTTTTAAAGATTCATCTTTGAGCTCAGGTCATTCAAATAAATATTTATATTTAAGTTACCTCGCAGAGCAGCATAACCTTGCAAGTAGATTTGGGGCTGTGGTTGTGACAGTAATGAGAACTCTTCACGAATGTGTCAGCAAAGTAAATACCCTTCAAAAATAGAAAAGTTTATTTTATTTTTAAAACAGAAAGAACAAAAGGACTCCTTATGTTATTATTTTGTACTTTTTCCAAAAACATTTTTTTTTTCTGTAGTTTCCAAAAATGCTATCAAAATTTGTAGTATTGTTTATGGACAAACCCATAATTTTATAAAAAATATCAACAATACACCCTAGTCTTAGAAAGTTTTAAACACTATACAACCTATTTTATTTTTAAAAACGAGGTAAAGATATTCAGAGTGATTTTAATTCACAGCATACCAAAAAAAATTATCACTAGTCTTTTTGACTAACTGAAGTCTTATACATTTTTACAAACAAGGTTACCTCTCCAAACAAATGACCTGTCCATGGTACTTCTGGTGGAGTGACAAGAAGACCCCGAGACAGGATGGAAATGAAGTTGGACATGCTGCTGCCATGCCAGAGAAGTTGATGATTAGGCAAGTTCAGTGCTGCAAGTCTAGCATCTTCACCTTCCCTGGATACTTTGAATATCCTATTAATATTTGCGGATGGGACTGGAAATAAAAAAATAACAGAAAGGGCATTAGTATTCCATTTTAATCATTTACGTGACAATGTTATCAAAGGGAAGGAAATATACATTAATATGTTTGGGTTACTTTATTGCTTCTCTTAACAAGTTTTGCTGTAAGTTACATGTTAATATATGAAAAACATGATGCAAAATGTTTGGTTAATTACCAGTTGCGTGGATGTTTGTAAGAATAAACTGAGCTTCAGGGTCTTCCTCTAGCAATGGCTGGATCCTGCACTCTAGACTGCTGTAAATGTAATCCATAGGATTTATCTCTGGGGGAAAAAAGAATTGAAATAAACTAGAAAATCCATAGCACAAAATTTAACACATTTATTTAGTATAAATCAAAATATCCTTCCTGAGAACTACTTCACTCTGAGGGGGAAAAAAAAAGGAAAACGAAATTATCTATTTAGAATAGTGGTGTTGCCACAAGTTAACGATTAAAACTTTTTAGCAAATAAAAGTTTCAGCTGGTTTACAACAGTGGAATAGTTGAATTTTATATTAAATCAAAAAGGCATAATGTATAAAAAGGGATATGACATTGATATTGTTAGTTTATGTTTTAAAGCAGACTAACAAACCTGCTTTTCTGAAATTGGCTCCAAGCAGAATGTTGTTGGCCACTTGTAAGTCCATGAGGTCTGCCAGCAGTTTGGTGTGTTCCCTGAGCATTTTCTTTTCTGAGATTGGTTGAATTGTTTCATCTTCAAACCCATAAATGGGAATCAGATGATAGTATTCATTGGTCAGCTTGGCTATCTGATGAATAAAGATATTTTCATAACATCATTAAACAGTTGTCAGACCGACAAGCAAGATCTGAAATCAGATGTGCCAACTAGACATTAATATTATTTACCACAAAATTATTTCTTCATTGATTATAAAACTTTAAAATAAAAGTGATATTTATGACTTTATAGTTTAATGAAAAATCTTTTGCCAATTTACCTCCTCACAATTACTTTGGTACTCCGCTTGAACTTCATTGGTCAGGTTGTTACGCAGTTTTGTAATTTTGTCTATTAGTTCACTGAAATATATATAAATTTGTATCAAACTATTTGTACCTTTCAATCCTTACTCCTAATTTTCAAATACTTCAAGACCAGGATAAAATAGCTTTGTACATATTAGGTTTTAAAACAAAATTTCAAGTCTTTTTGTTTGTTTTTTTATGTATTTGATTTTTATTCCTTGTGGGCATTTACTTTTCTGTTACACTTTTACAAAATTCTATAATGCTCACAACACTAGCACATTATTTGTGACTGTCTCATTTCATATAAATGAATAGTCATTCATGTATACTATGATATGCACATGAATTTGTGACTGTCTCATTTCATATAAATGAATGGTCATTCATGCATACTAAGATTTGTACATTTTTTCCCCCAAACTTTTATCTGCATTTATCTTGGAAAGTGATTTGTAATTTATTAAATAAGATATTTAAACAAATTACATATAATGCCATTGTAATAAATACATTTTATCATTAAAAAAAGACACAAAACTGAAACAGGGCAGTGCTGTTTAGGAATTTTTTCCTTCAAATATAATATCTCTCATCTTTTGGTAAATAATTAACTCACCTAATATCAGTCAAAATCCTTCTGGCCTCAAGTAAAGTTTCCCTCTTCATTCTCCCAAAAGGCATGAAGTCTTCATTCAGACCAACCTTCTGTATGGATGCTAACAACATGTTTACACTGCTCTGTAGATCAAATCATTTTATTTGTTGACATTTTCTTTTAAATTATAAAATTATTTTATACATAGAGTATTTATTTTATTTTTTTAAATTTAAAATTCAGACTGCAACAAATACATATTTTACAAACCTAACAGTAATTTATTCAACATAATTTGGAGCACTTGTAGTCTAGGGGATGACATTTACCAGAAAGGCAAATAACAAAGGCACAAAATAAAAGTTTTTGAAAAGCTAGCAACTTTTCTTACCAACTCTGTCAAAAGATCAAAAACAGGTTCAGGCAATTTGGTGGTAAGGTTTGAGTCAAAGCTGAATTCCACCTTATGCTGCTTGTATTGTTTCTCAGGCTTGGGCATCAATCTGTACTTCTTAGGTTGGTTCTGGAATCTAAGAATAAAGGAAAACCTTCATCATACAGAGCATATTTATGAATATGAACATGTTCTCTTAAAATGAAGACACAGAAATTAAAACTGAGATTGTCCATAGTTGTTAACATCTGTGACAACACAAATTATTTTAATGTAAGAGGTTCATTTAATGCAATCACAAAACAATGTAAAATTTTACTTTTAAGTTGGAACTACAGAAACAGATGATTATTAACTATCACAGCAAGAAATGCAGTAGAAAAACAACTTCACATCAATTGACAATATATCTCTTTGGGGTATGTATCTTAAGAAAGGACATTTTACTCACTTATTGAGATTATTCCAGTCATTGCCAGTTTTAGACCTGAATATTTTGCAAAACTCTTTAGCTGCCTCAGGAAGAGACTGGAAGGGGGTGTGCTGAAACTGGCCTCTGTCTCCAATGCGGCCCCAGCGTGTGAAGAGGATGAATAGGTTCTTGGTAGTGTGGCGAATTACCTAACAGAGGGATTACAAGAGTGAAGCTCATTTATTCAACAGCTACAGTGACTTCTCTTTATAAAAGTTGCAATTTCATCAGTGCCGGTATTTGTTTATTGTAGTGGTTTTCCTCCTTTTTAATCTTAAGGCACACTAAAACAACTAATTTCAACAACACACCATACCCATGATAATTAGTCGGTCAAATGCCAACAAACTTTTTTACAAATATTTTTGTTTCTATCATATCCAAATTTTGCTACACAACTGTGAACCTTTTGATACAATACTAAAGTTAAAAACAGGTTTAGTAACTTCTTGTAATTATTAAAAAATAATAGCCTGCTTTTTATCTCCTTTAATTCTATACTTTTCATTTATAAGTAAAGGGTTTAAGTGTTTTCATCCATTGAACAAATTTTAACAAAATATCTCAGAAAAAAAGTATCTATGATATTCGATGGAAGATGCAGGAAATACCTTTAATGGCTCGAATGTGAAGCCAGTCATCATTACTTAAAAGAAAACGTTTTGTGTCACACAGAAACATACCTGCATTTTGTAAAAATTATACATGCCCCAAGCGCCCACTGTGACGTCCACCTTACTGAGCGTCACATCATAAGGAATGTTGGTACTAGGATTGATGGCCACTTCCCTGCAAGACAGTGACCTTTTTTTTTTTTTTTGGATTGGAAAAGTTTTGTGTATAGAGAAAAAATTGGGACCATCCCAGCACCATTATTGAGATTCCATTAAAAGATATAACTTCAAACTGGTTAATAATTTGTTTTTCCAAAAATATGATTCCAAAAATATGATTCCAAAAATTCCATCTTTAATGTTATCATCCCTGTTCCTTAGAGAGCTTATTAAGGAAGCTATTGTCACCTTTAGAACTTTTGCATATAACAATAATGATATAATAATAACTGCAGCAATAATCAATTATTTTACAAATAAGAAACTTCAAATGATGAGACTGGCAGATTTACAATTTTAACAGTATAACATACCCTGAATGTTTTATTTCACAGTTAGTATCCACTTTGGGCAAATTTTCAGCATCTTCTGAAACACCTGATGCCTTGTCCAATTTCTTCAACATCTCTTCTGCATCAGCTTTAACATCAGGTTTGGTAATGCCTGTTACAATTTCTGGCACAACAAAAGGCTGAGGATTCTGTAATATATTCCATCAGAAATGCTTCAGCATTATTTTACTTTCACAAAACTAGTTCAATAATAATCCAGAAGACACAGATAAAGAATCCAATTTTTCATATTCATTTTGTAGTCATTTAATTTTTCATTATCATAGTTGATTTAGGGTATGACATTGTTATTCCACAAACAACATCTATAAATATAACATGTCTTTAACTAATGAATCTTAGGGGGAAAAACTCTACAAATCAATCCAATATTTAAAAAAAAAAAATTCGAAAGACTGAATTTATCCTCACCCTCACAAACGGTTTATGTTCTCTATTATATGGCTCAAGTGCCAGCAATTTGTTGAGTACTTTGGCTATTTTCTCTGCATCAGTCTTTTGAGCGAGATCCATGGGTGTTTGCCCAGCTTTATTTTTGGCTTCCAGTGGAGCCCCGGCTTTGCCAAGAAGGTAAACAATTTCAGCATTATCAAACGTGGCATGTTCCAAAGAACAAACTGCATGGTGTACAGCGGACCAACCATTTTTGTCACTAAGAGCTAAATCCACTTGGCTGGTTTTTACAATGTTAGTGAACTCTTCTGTAAGTAATAATAGTCAGTGTTACAAAATATGACTCTTAGGTAAGTAACAGTATCAGTGTTCCAATAACATATTTTGTATTATAACTTGTATATTTTTTTATATGGTGTAATATATTATAGTAAATCAAATTATAAATCCCGATGATTTTTATCCAACTCTTTACATGTTTAGCAACATTTTTTTCAAAAAATTTTTACATGGCCCAAAAGAAAGTTTCTAAACGCCTTAGTAACATTTGCATTTTCAAAATCTTGTTCATGTTTGAATATCCAAAAGCTAAAACAATAACTACTGCTTTTAAAAGTTTCAAACAATTTTAAAATTAAAATATAAGTTCATAATTCTTACTGTCTTTATTTAATTGTGACACATGTCGGGAAAGTGAGAGCTTTGTAGCACCAGAAGGGACAAAAGATTTTTTTTGTGCAGCCAATGTCAACCCAGACGACACGTTATCAGTCTTGCGTTCATCTTCTACAATATCTGTGTCATGGTCACTGTCTTCTTTATCATCATTCTTTTCATCTTCATCCTCCTCTTCTTCAAAGGTTTCTTCCAGTGGTTCTTCAACTATATATCAAGGTAAAAAATTTGGAAGATATACATTTTTTAAAAAGCCCTTATCATTTTGTTAATTTTAAAAAAAAGTAGTTCATTTTTATCAAAATGATTCAAATCTATTTGTTTTGACCACATTATTACAGGAACACACCATCTTCATTCAAATCAACAGAGTCTTCATTCTCTTCTGTGTGTTTTGACATTGAAACGGCATCATCTTCCCCTGCTTCATCTGCTACTTCCTCATCCAACAAGTCATCAGGATTTTTTTCCTTAGGTACGTCAAAATTTATTGCGATAACCTGAAATTAAACAGTTTTACGTTCAATTTCTAAAAAGTTGTGCAATGAGCAAGGCAATACATTTTTCACCCCAGAGAGTTATCTTGATTTACTTTTCTTGGCCACGAAAAAAAAGGTCTGAGAAAATACTGTTCTAACTCAATTCATATAATATACTTTGTTATTCTCGTTTTAAGACTGCACACTTTCTCTACTTAGTCCAAAACTAATTAAACTTCATAAATATAAATTATTGTTTGAAAATATATTTTGTGTCCATGCTATTTGATCAAATGACTACTTTTATTTTGAACTGTTAGAGCTTACTTGTCTTGACTGTTCCTTAGAAAGAACCGGTTTCAGATCTGTTTTTTTATCAACCGCTTCATCAGCCTCTGGATCATATGTGTAGTTCAGGAGAAGTTTCACAATCTTGACATCATTCTGATGAACATTTAAGGCATAATTTAAAATTTTTATTATGAACTTTTTATGTAGTCTGATCTAACTTACATAAGTTTTATCATATTATCATTGTGGAATATATTCCAAGATACAATGTTTTCTTGTCCCACCAATGAATAATAACTCTATAACTTTTATTAACTCTCAAAAGACGGGAGATTGAAAAATCGGTCATATATGGCGGGTGAAAAAAAGGACCCCTAATATATATATAAAAATAATATTAAAAGGCGAAAATAAAGATTTACTATTTTGGAATGTTAAATTTCTATTTGGCAAGAAAGAAAAATCGTTTATTTTACTAGTTCTTGAAGAAATCTGGTAGCAACTTGTCCATTCATAAATTTTCCTTTTCGCCATTTACTCATATTTTGCCACAATTCCGGTTCACTGTTACTACACTCTAAAACATTGCTATGGAATCTGATTCTGATTATAAGCTTGAAATGGACAACTATTCTTACTTAGAGGAATATTTTTGATGAAGATAGCACTTCAGATGTGTCTGATACCGACAATTGTGTAAATTATCATCATAATAATAGCATCCAAGGTTTGTTTACTTTTTTCATTCATACTCAACTCACGCATACTGTGATACTTCTTAGCACTATTATTAGCCATAGCATTAGTTTTATTCAAGTTCCAGTAGTATAAAATTCTTAAATAGATTAAATTATTTATTTGTTTGAAACTTATTTGTAGTTATACAATTATTTTAATATTATTACGTTTCAGTTAGCAAAATGTAAACAATGGTTCTCAAGGCCAACGCTATTATTACACTGTAACAATCAGCTGTGTTCCCTTTTCAATGAAAACTTGAAGTAAAAGTAATTTAGGCAGATTGTTTATTATTTTGAATTCTTTTTATTTATATTGTAATTTTTTTATTTTAGCTAAACTAATTTTTTTTTTTAAATATTTTGACAGCATCTATGAAGGGCAGATGTCAAACATAGTCAATACAATGGGTTATGATGACAAAAGACTGTGGGACTCTTTGCTGCATTTAGACCAGAGGTGAAAAGCACTATTGCTTCCTGATGTTATAACAAGAGAGGATATAAGGAGATTTTAAAAGCAAATTGACATTTTCAACCTCTACTTTACTACAGATTTGGTTGGTTATTAGTAAGCCTTGTGCGCAGGACAATGGACCGCAGAACTTTTGTGTTTTCAAAAATTGGTACCATTATAACATCATTGAAGGGGAGTTTTATCTACTAAGTGGATTTATTATGAATGCAGGACTTATCAAGCTCTTAATTTTACAAGAAATGTCCAGGAAATCCTTTTATGATGGACAATGAGCAAGGCCATTAGTACTAAGGACATATTCAAGGCTATATTGAGTTTCCTAAAAGTTTCTGATACTGAAAATAAAGGAAACATGCTGTGTACAATTGGGAGACACTTCTGTATCTCAATGCAAAATACAATCAACTGTATCAGCATCAAGAAAATGTAGCAATTAATGAACAATTTAGGGAACAATTGACATATTTGATGATGAACCTGATACTGTAAAGCCCGAAATCTTTACATCGTGCGCCGCAACATGACAATAACAAAAAATGTAATTGTGGGTTACCAAAACAGGGTAAAATGGTCAGAGCATATGTCACAGGCTTTGTTTTTGATACATTTTTATATTTTAATAAATAAAGAAATTGTTTTCAAGAATTTTTATGCATGGTCTTGGCGAAGGATTATATCCTTTGATCGGTATCTCGGGGATGCATAAAAAATGTTTATTTATTAAAATGTGCCTTTTTTCTTAACTTTTCTTCTCAAATAATACTTACTAATAACCCTCTAAAGGATAATATGATGCAGTATATGTTTTCCTTTGAAAAAAAAAATTATTATTATTTTTTGAAAATAATTTTGACTTTTTGAGCAATATTTCCTTGAATGATCTGTTGCCTACAAATAGTCATAACTTTTTTATTTATGAGTCTATTCTTTTGAAATTTGAATATGTTTTATAGTATTGAACACATTCTAATAAATTATCAATTTTATTGATTTAATTGGAAACACTTTTTTTTTTCCTTCTTTGTAAAAACTGTGATGTTATGTTTTTGTCGACTTAAAAAAATATTTTTTTTTTGCCTAAAAATAATAAAACATCAAATTTAGCAAGGATATTTTGAACAAACACCAAGCATCAATTAAAGAGCATCCAATTACCTTTAAAATGATATATAATACTTGGAGGTAGCTACAAAATTACAGTCATGAGACACTTTGAAGAATAAGATATATTCAAGGTCATTAAAAAAGGGAAAAATCTACAGTCTTTTGAGAGTTAATCTATTTTATAAAAAAAAAACAGCACATTAAATAAGAACATACCATTCTAACAGCATGCATCATTGGTGTTAGTCCATTACTGTCAGCAAAGTTAGGGTTAGCTCCTTTCAGCAGCATGTACTTTGCTAGCCCAAAGTCATAGTTTCGAATGGCAAAGATGAGTGGACTGGTTGAGTCCTTACAGCGGGTCTCAAAGTAATCTGGTTGCTCACAAGAAATTTTTGCTCCAAGAAGCAAAGGGTCAGGTAGTGGGTGATCATATAGTGTGTTCAAGTTAACTTTTCCAAGATCTATTAACACATCAAGCCATTCTCTGTAAATTAATTACATTTTTTAAAAATATTTTTCAGAAAATAAATTTTGATTTTTTTTTCTACATACTAAATATAAAAATGTAAAATAATCAAAAACAAAATTTCATTCAAAGTTTTGCTTTTGATTTCAACAAGTTTATTTTTTGCCTTAATTAGTTCAAAGTACTACAACAAAATAAAAATGATATAAAAAAAACAACTTTACTGTTTTCTAATAAAACAATGCAAAAAAAAGTTCAAGCAGTACAAGAAATCTTACTTCACTTCATCTACTTTGAACTTGTCTGATACCCAGTTGTAATCCCACATAAAAGCTGCCATTATGTCTCGTCCTCTGCTATCTTTAACTCTGGCGTCAAATTTCAGATCATTTGCTGAAAAAAATTGTAAAAATTATTTAACTTTGGTTTTAAAATAATCAAGAACAAATACTTATAACAATAATATTGTGTAAGTATGTAATTGTTTTCTTTTAAAAACTTGTCAAGTTAAAATTCAATTGCCTTTCCACATGGTACATGAAATCAAACAAAACAATGTTAGCAGTTTTTAATGACATTTTTCATTGCCCATGACTTACTGATAAGAAATTTTGCCAGAGAAACAGACTGATGCTTCAATGCTGCATACATTAATGGTGTAAATCCACGCTTGTCTTTCTCTGCCAGTTGAATCCTTTTTTCTAGTAAAGCACCGGCAACCTGATAGGTTTTTTTTAAATGTAAGATTTTATTTTTCTACAATGCAGGCCACTCTTAAAATTTTCAATTAAATTTCTTATTGAAACAAAAATTAAAATAGGAGAATTTAAGATTGAAAATTATTGCAGATACCTTGAATACGAGTTTTTTTTTTATTTTCATTCTGAACTTTATACTTAAAAATACAATATTTTAAAAAACTGGTTGATCAAGACAATGTTAACTATTTTTTAAATCTCAATTTTATTTTATTTTCTAAAACTTGTAATTTTTTTTTTAATTTATAAATATAAAATTGAAAGAGTTAGTATCAGTTACCTTGATTTGTAAATCAGGGTCATGTCTGCTGGTTTTGTAACCCAAGACATGGAACAGATTCTGCCCTTCCTTATTCTTGGCATGCAATCTGTTCACATCAGGAATTCTACGCAAGAGGCGCAGAGCAAGATAGAACTTGCTCAGGTTAAGCGCTGACTGAAATACAAACAAAAAAAATGTCAAACTTTATAGACATTATAGATTAAATATTTAGGATAAATTTTCTAAAACTTATTTTTGTTGATTACCTCGACAGCCTCCATAGGCATACCAAGGGCATCAAGGAGCATGTGGGCCACACCGGTGAGATCATTCTTGACAGCACCCTGCAGAGAATATTAGTTTTGTTCTGATGCCCAATTTGTTACATGAAAAATGTTATTTCTTATGTTTGCCATATACACAAACCATACTCAATAATTTGTAAAAATATTAATCTTTAGACAACTATGAATTTTTAAAAAAGCATTTGAATTATATTAACATCTTTAATATTATAAACAAAAAATCTATATATTTTAGAACAGAGTAACACTAAACTATACCTCAAATATTGTCATACTCTCGCCAGGTAATTCTTTAGGCTGTCTACTTTGCCACTGTTTCTTTGGACGCCAAGTTAGTGATGGACGTTTTTTCTTTTTATTGTCCTCTTCAGGTTCTTTCTTCAGCTCCTCTTTTCTGGGTAGGCTGACAACAATTGGGAAGGACAAGCTTGCATTGCGCTGCATCAACATGATGGCACAACTGGAATGTCGGGGAGAGATGTTAAAAATGTAATTTCAAGTGTTAAATAATAATCACATCAGCATTGTTATAAATCGAGATTGACATATAACAGGCTGTTGTCTTAGCAATTTAAGTTACAGCTGCTGGAATTATCTGGAAGGGAAAAAAATGTATATCCAAATGATAGAAAAAGATAAGCACTTACCTATCAAATCCTCCATGTATGGCCATGTTCAAGGGTGTATTTCCTCTGTATTCTTTTGCTTCAATATTTGCTCCTCTCTAGTAATATAACAATTTAAATAATGAGTTTAATGAATGATTTTCAAATTGGTAAGAGAAAATTCACAACTTAGGGTAACTCATACAAGAATCACTCATGTTGAATTTACCTGCAGCAGATGCATGCAACAAATTGTAGCACCAGAGCTGGCAGCATATAATAGAGGAGTGAACTTTTGCTCATCAGGCTCATCCACTTTCTGGTCTCTCATTACACTGGTCAGGAGACTGCACAACTCAATAGGATCAACACTGGTGAAGCAACAAAAAATATAGCCAGAGGGATTGCAGAGTGTAAAATATGCATAAAACATACAGGTCTAGAATATTTTCTGATTGAAATAAACGAGTTCAATGTTTAAAATGTTAAAATGTTAAGATCTATTTAAAATTTAGACATACTAGATACTCAGAATGAGGGTTTCACAGCTTCTGGAGTGACATGAGGAATAACTTATTTCTGAATTTGTTCTCTTATTTTATATAATAAATGTAATAAATAGAAACATAGATCAAAAAAGAGTTCATACCCAGATTTCTTCAATGCCAGGTGTAAAGGCATCATCTGCTGTTTATTCTTGGCAAACACATTTGCACCCCGATCTAGCAGGAATTCCTCCAAACTAGTTGAAGTATCTGAATGGCCTTTATTAAAACGAACAGCAAGATGCAGAGGTGTATCCCCTTCACTGTCAATACTATTGATGTCGGCTCCAGCTTGCAGTAAGTTCTGAATCATAGCAATAGTCTCGTCTTCTCGAGCTAATTAAAAGATATATTCAAATATATGTTCAAATATTACGGTCCAGCAAGTAGTCAGATTTGCTTAGAGCAGCATGCTAATGTAAATGTATTTCATTTTGACTAAACAGTTCAAGTGAAACTGTATTTTAATGCTTCAGCTCTAACAATTTTTTAATAATAAAGAAGTTTATGCTAGTGTTATAGAGACTAGCCAGCATTAACAATTCAGCAAATGATTTAATAATATCAATATTTAGGTTCTCAAAAACTTGCTGAATCTGATTAAAGAGAATCATTGATGTCCATGATAATTTCAGTCCTAGAGTCATAAACATTTATATAAAAGCATCTTGTTTTATTTTGCCTTTACCTCTATTGGTGACCATGATATGAATGGGAGTGCGAAGATTATCAGATCGGCTACTCTGTACATTTGCCTTGTATTGAATCAAAAGCCGCATTATCTCCATAGCTCCTCTCCTAAAGAGTTGAAATGATGAAGAGTAAATGAGCACCAAAAGAAAAGCAAAACAAAATAGCATGCAAATTTTTGTTGAACAGATATATTGTTTCAGAGAAAATACATTTTAGCAAGCTGATTATGAAATAATGATTTTTAATTGAAAATATATTTTTTAAACTTACTCTGCAGCAAGCACAAGAGGTGTGACTTGGAAGTGGGGGCCTTTGATTAACACATTAGGATCAGCTCCTCCCTCGAGCTAATAAAAATCAAAAGAATTAGAATAGTAAAAATAATTGTTACTGTAACTAATGATGGATAAATAGCACATGTTGGGTTTAGCATTTATGGCTAACAATAAATTTTTTAAAAATAAATAAATAAAATAGTGACATGCAAAAAGATATTTACTTTGAACTTGGTTAACTTAATTATTGTACTTCAAACATTAAGATTATCATATTTATGCCTCAACTGCCCTTTTAAATGACAAATAATTACATTGGAAAGAATTTTTATTTTTTTAGAAAAAAATTTAAGTTTAACAGTAACAAACAAATTAAATACCAGTGATTTGACTATTGCCTCTCTAGAACTCTCAACAGCTAAAGCAAGAGGTGTTTTGTCCTGTAGATCCCTTTGGTTTGTATTTGGAGAATATTTAAGCAAAAGGTTCATGCCTTGACCAATTTCAGCCTCCCCTTTCTCAGACTGTGCATTCACCATGAAGTGTAGTGATGAACACAAACCTGGGAGAGAAAACTAAAAATTAGTTGCTGTTTTTTTTAAATAGCAGAAGAAAACTGAAGTCCACAATATCAATCATTCCATACGACAGTATATTTTTTTTTATTTATGAAATTTCTGTTTTATACAAGTTTTCAAAAATAATATTACATCCAAACAATTAAAAATCTTTTACTTTTCCTCGACATTAAAAATTTTAATTTTAAAACTTCTTTTTATTTATTAAGCAACTCAAATATAATCAAGGTGGCATCTTATTTCCTCTGTAGAACATACATAAAATACAAAATGATGTTTATAGCAAATGGTAATCTGAATTAGTCACAGATGTGAAAATTATGATAAATTGAAGGCTCTAGATTTTGGATATTGACATTATGACATTTTGGTTGAAACAATTGAAATAAACATTTAAAACTTAGTTTTTTAGTCAAAAGCATTGGATCTTTAAAGCATATTGTCGGATTCAAAATAATTGCTACTAAAGAGTAAAGATTTCATCATCTTACCTTCAGGGGCATAATGCAATTCTGGATCATCTGGAATATTCTTTGGTCCTACAACTGCATTAACATCAGAACCTGTCCACTCGATCAATCCCTGAATAAAAGCTCTGGCATGGCTGACTTTTTCTGCATCCTCTCTCTTTAAAGCCTTCAAGAAATTAATTCAAGTTAATAGAAGCACTTCATGATTTTTAATTTGATAATTTTTTTCTTAGGCAACATGAAATCAAATTATTCAGATTATTAAAATGTATTAGATAAAATACTTTTTTTTCCTTCTAAATTTTACATTATACTTAAGCTCCTACCTGGAAATTCTTGTATACATAGCAGGCTCTAAGCAGAGGCGTGAAACCTACAAAGTCTTTGTCCTGAGCCATTTTCTTTAAGACTTCCTGCTGAGTTGCAGCAGGTTTATCTGTGTCCAAATCCTTTTTGGTGTTGTCTGAATTGTTATCACCAGAGTTATCTGCTGATGCTTTGTTGTCTTCTCCATTGATATTAACAGTGGATACTTTATTATCTCCTGAAATGAAAATATCAATAAATTAATTTAAGCAAAACAATGTTTCCTCTAGTCGAGATAAAAAAGGTAATTACATATTTCAGTTAAAAAATTCCTAACAAAGCTTATTTAAGAAGATCTAATACATTTTAAACATTTTTACCTCCAGTTTTCTTATCTCCAGAATCTACTTCCATGGGAGTTTCTTCTTTTTTCTCAGTTTCTGCTGCATTTACTTTTCCATTCTCTTTTGGTCCAACGGTTTGGCTCTTCACTTGAGGGACCTCCAATGATTTCTTAAGATTAAAATTTCCCAATGATAGTTTGATTTTTTTTAAATATTGAAAACAAAAAAAGATTGCACAAGCAAATAGATAATTGTACTTCTATAGTCAATGAGTATAAATCATTCAATGTATGACTGCTTGTGACAAAATGAATCCTTAACTAGATGATTACTTACTTGCTCTGCAAGGATCTTAAGCATAGGAGTTAGATCTGTTGTGCAGCATTGCTCTGCCATAAGGTGAAGAACTGTTTTTTCATCATTATTTTTGTCAGGCGATACTGTGCCTCCATTCTCTACAAGATACCTCACCAAATCAACATTTACCTAAAGTGTATGAACAACAGTTAATCAATATGTATCCTTAAAATTCAATTGCATTTTCTGAAAGTACCGACATTCATGTTGATATTTTTTTAAAATTGATGTTCCTATTCCATTTATTTCACATATAGTTAAGGTCAGATGAAACAAGACAATGAATGTATTAAGATTAAATAACTTTTGATTACAAGTTGACTAAGATGATAGCCACAATTTAACAAAATGTCATAGAAACTGTAACTTGAAATAAACAAACCTTTCTAGGACTACTTTAGCAACTATTAATGGAAAACTGAAACGTAATATGAAATATGTTAGATAAATATTTCTACCTGTTCAATAGCCAACATGATAGGAGTTTTGCCCTCATTGGTTCGAAGAGTAGGATCACATTTAGCTGAGATAAGCACCTCTGCTATTTTCACACTAATCTGCATGGCTTCAGGATCAACTTCTGGGTCCTATAATTAGGTTGAAATAATGTATCATTTTTATAATTATTCCTTATACCATTCTGTTTGGGTTATTTTGTTCTTAAATTATATTAACCTATCAAAACTATTTAGAAATGTCATTTTAATTCTCTTAGGGTTTATCAATTTTTTTAAATATATCTAGCACTAATTATCACAAACTTACCCAATGTCTCCCTTTGATCTTGATATTATTGGCTGCCAGATGATGAAGCTGCAAGCAAAAAGAGCTTATTCATAAATCCAGTTAAACATCATGAAATTACAATAAATTACAACTTCCATATCTATTCTCCTTATACAATTTCATAAATAATGAAATTCAGTGGCTTTTTAAAATACGTAAAGTAAAGTGCAAACTGACTTACAGCATTATATCCATTCACATCACGAATGGTAGGGTCAGCTTTATAATTTTTTATGAGATTGGTAATCTGAGTGTCCAGACCTGACACCAGTCGGCTTCTGCAAGCAATGCTGGCAAGAGTCATTCCTGTCAATTTATGATAAATGATAGTTAGGACATTTAATTTGAGCATTACATATATTAATGTTTAAGCTTTAAGGCCAAGTTTGTATTACTTAATAACTTCACATAGAAATTACTGAAACCATTTGTGGTAAAAAAGGTAAATTGTTCTTTCTGTGACATTGATATGCAGGAGACCTTAAAACTGAGCTTCCACTGGGAATCTTACTGAAATTACTTCTCAATTAAAATGCCAGGCTATACTTTATTAACTTGCATAAAGGAAATAACATGCAAGCCCATAAACTTTATATTCTTCTCTGGAATTGTACTTATTAGACACAAATTTGAGAAGTAATTACATCGATCTTGAACAGAGGTACATAAAATAGTCTTAATGTTAATAACCATTTAAAAGTACCATTTTCAGTTTTAAAATTGATGTCAACTCCTTTATGGTTGAATAACATTTCTACAAGTCCATGGTTGCCTTTCAAAAAAGCAATGTTGATGGGAGTTGTCTGGGAAATAAATAAGAAAACATAACTGTAAATAAAATTCACTTCAAATTAGTACCATATAACAGGTAGTTACTAATAATTTAGCTTCATCTTTGTGTAAAAAATCCAAAAAAAATTTCAACTTTTCTGTCAACTTTCAAGAGATTTGAAACATTGATTGTTGTTTCTTACAAAATTAACCAGTCATTGTACTTTTAGTATCTCATAATAATTGTTAAAGAATAACATTAAAGTAATTGTATTCATTGTAAATTCTAAATGGCATGTTACCATAATTTCTTTACTCAAAAACATACTAATACAAAATGTCTGTTTTGAAGAAATTAAACTTTTATAAAAATGTATACTAAGCAACCTTACCTGCCAATCATTTGGTTGATCTGGCTTAGCACCAGCATCTTTAATAAGCAACTTAAGACAAAAGTACCAGCCATAGGCAGCCGCATAATGAACTAGTGAATTATTAGATGAATCTACACGATTTGGATCTGCACCAAGGTAGAGTAAATAGGATGCCACATTTGTGCTACCATTGATAATGGCATGGGTCAAGGCTGAGCGCTTCTTTTTATCTGTAATTATTTGTAACAATATTTTGTTTAATCAAGATCATGTTATATAGGTGTCATTTTCAATATTTAAAAATAATTTAATTCTGTAATTGAGGATGTGAAAACAAACCCAACTGAAAAGGTATAATTTTAATTATAATACTTGTATAAAAAACTTAAATAACCAGTTTTAAAAGTTTAATTATGGCCCAAATGGATACAGATGTAAATGTTTTGTTTTTTTATAATGTTGAGTAAAAAAAAATGTGTATACACACCAAGCATCTCAACTGCTGCACCACTTTGCACAAGCAGCCTGGCAATATTGAGGTCTCCCCTCTGAGCTGCAAGCATTAAAGGTGTGACTTTGTCTTTTCCAGCAGAAAGGGGTTTGTTTACATCCGCACCATGTTTAATTAGTGTGCGGACTGCATCCTTAGATGAGGCAAAATTGGAAAAAGAAATATAGACTGAAAATAATTCTTTAACATTTTTAAATTTTATTTAGAATGCAGCTTTCATTACAAAATTATCCAAATAACGGACCATAATTTTCATTTATTTGAACACAATAAAAAATTGATTTAATTTTTTTGACAGAATTTGTACATTACAAAAGATTGTAGCTTTTCAGAATGATAATAATTCAAAGGACTTCATATTCCTCCCTTTAAAATGTTCATTTAAATAAATTATTTGGATGGTTGTTAGGATGAGGTTTAAAAATTTTACTTCTTTTTATTAAACTGATTAACCAAACCACACTAGGTTTCAAATAGCCTAAAATGTCATTTTATTGTTACAAAGGGGATCTAACGTACCAAATGACCTTCTTCCACTGCCATGTGAAGAGGACAGAAAGACAATCTGTTGGGTCTGTTCACCATTCCTAGACCCCACTTCTCATTCATAACTTCAGCTCCAGCTAAAGAATTATTATTTTGTAAAATTTCATGTTTTGTGGGAAATTTATTAACTACAAAGTATCTTTTATTATAAGTTAACATTTTAGTTTAAAATGACCATATGAAGACCAAGTCACAAAAGAATTTTAGTAATTATGTTTTAAAACTTCAAAAAATGTTATCCCCTTACCATTACAAGATTACAAAATATTATAAGATAAGATGAGATAAGATGCTTTTATAATTCCAAATAAATGATGAATTAGAACAATTAAATGTGTACTAGATAAATATTTAAAGTAACTCACACTCAGATTTAGCATGCTTCACAAGCACATCAATATTTTTTGAGCGTCCACTCCTACTGGCAAAATGAACTGGCAAATCACCATTGCTGTCAGATTCATTAGGACTTGCATTCCTGAGAGAAATATAAGCCAGTAAATGAAAAATTATTACTTTCTTAACAGTGTAAGCTGAACAGAGATGGTTTAAGAATAAATGTGTATCTTAAATTTTAGAGCAAAATGATTGACTTCAATATATTAAACCTTCCAATTTTTCAATTAGTTCAAAACATTATTTTAAAATCTTAAATTATTCATCAAGACAATTTATCTTCATTCAATGAGTCACCTTTTGAGTAAAAACTCAAGTGGTGCAGTGCCATCACATGCTGCAGCAAAGTGTATGGGTCTGGCACGTGACCTTGTCTGGATATTAATATCTGGCTCAATTGATAAGAGACGGGTGAGGTATTTCACATTGGGATTTATAGCAGCACAGTGAAGTGGAGTTATCTGTAGAATATTGAAAAAAAACAAAACCATTTTTCATAAACTTTCTGATTTCTACTAAATATGTTTTTTCACACAAATGTTCATTAACTTACTTCATTTAACTAACACCAACAGTAAAAACAAAAACTTACTGAATCATTTGAAAAAGGCTTCTTCCGAACAGATGCAGCAAGAATGATATCTCTGAGATCTTCTTTGTCATAAGTGAGAACCTTTAAAGAAAGTTTTATTTATTTACAAAGAATGCAAGAGTACAAAATATATAGTCATTTCAATATTTTGACCAATCTTCCTTGCAGTTGCAGTGAACATTATTTCTTAGAAATATTAATCAACTATCAATATTTTCACTAATCATTCCTAAAGAAACTTCTTAATTATTGAACATTTTTAATAAAGACTTAAAATTACTTAATAGAAATAAATTCAACAACTTAGCTTCATGAATATTAAGCATATATAGCATTTGATGCATTTTAACCAGTTAAAAAATGAATGAATGTGGTCCTTACATGAAGAAATCTTTGATTTGACTGCTTACAACTAAATTTACCTCTTTATGTAGAAAGTTGAAGCCAAAGCCTCCAAGCCTCTCTGCATCTGACACATATTTTGCTGCTAGTTCACGATGACCCCTGCTAACAGCAGAGCTTATTTCACCAATAACAGAATGCACCTGAGAAATGAACATTAAATAAAAAATTATACTGCTTATGTTTCTTTGAATTTATTAGAAAAAAAAAAGGTTCAAACTTTCAAGCACATTCCACAGTACAGTTTTTTCAAAAATGTAAAAATTAACATTCTCTTCATAATTAAAGAATTTTCTGCTTTTCGGTAGCAAATTTAATGACCAAATCTAGAGAACAGGAGTTTAATTCGAAGAATAATTAGATATAGATTATATTCAATGAAAAATTGCATAATGGTTTTAAATATCAAAACATCAATTCAAAGACGACATCAGTATTTATACTTGATCATCCCTTGTAGTTTTCTCAGCAACAGAAAGTGCCATTAGAAAACTTTCCATGGTGTCAACTGAAACACCCAACTTCATCCAGTCTTGAATAACAGAATCTTTATCTATGCTTCCCTTTATAGGTTCCTTGATTTGAGTGGTAAAAAAAAGAATGAACAGCATGAACAAAAAATAGTAAAACCCCATCTGGAGTTTCTGCAGTTAAGATTGGCATTATATTTAACTTTCCAACAAAACAAATGATGAATTTTCAGAAAAAATAAAAGTTATCAACCTGGTGTTGAATTATTTATTTAAGTCATCTAAGTTTTCATAAATAGTCTTAGCTAGAAATTTGGCATCATTCACCTTTAAAAATGCATCATTGCCTTCTTTACCCCCACGGCTAACATTTAGGCTTCTAATTGATTTGATTCCAAGAAAAGCTGGGTTGTATCTGAGATGACAAGAACAAAAACAAATTAACAAATAAAACAATTTAAATTTATAAAATGATACTCAACATATATTAAGTACAATAAATTATGTAAGAAAAAATAGTTATTATGTCTGATATCTGAGATTTTAATGTTCTCTTCTTTAAGCTTGAAAATTTCAAAAAACTGTGTAAAAGACCATATAAATTTTGTTTACAATGTATAATCAGTATCTGAATCATCTTAAGATATCAAATGTTATATTTAATAATGATTTTTGTAATTACATTCCAGTGTCTGTTTCTGAAATGATTGGTGCTGGTGGTTCTTTCCTCTTTCTTTTAGATTGCACTTCTGAATCAAAAATCTCAGTAGTTAATACTTTGATGATGTCTTTTTTGCCTTGCTCGCCAGCGAATGTAAGAGCATTTCTATTGTCGAAAGCCGATCGGTCAATCTCAAACTTTTGAAGGAAATAATTTTTTTTTAAAACACAACATAACATAATATATCTTGAAATTTTTTTAAAATAGTGTAAAATAGAGTAAAAACAATGTAAAACTTTTACTGACCTTTGAATGAACCATTCCTCCTCCTTAATATGCATTTATAATTCAATTAGTGAAACAAGGAAGATACTCACATTCGTGACTCCTTCCGTTCTCTGGAGAAGTTCTTTCAAAGCTTCAACATCCCCTGTGTTAATCGCACGGAAAACAAGCTTGGATGTCATAAGTGCTGATACTTCTGGAACTTTGTCTCTGTTAAAAAGAAGTTTACTTTTATATTTTTTTCAACAGAACAGCCAAATGATAAATGACATTTATATTTAAAAATGTTTTCCATATTTTAACCAATTTATTTTTTTTCAATATAAGAATAAAAATATATTATACAACCTAAAAAATATTTAGTTTTGCCACTACATAGCAAGACTCTCAAGGTGAAAACAAAATGTGCAAATTAAAATTATATTCCTTTCCCTGGCTCATTGGCATAACTTACTTTGTATCAAAAAATGGATCTTTTTCCAAAATTTTTATTTTTGGGTTGGGTTTCAGATTTCTATCAGGACCTTTCTTCTTGTCACCACTTTTGCTTTTCTGTTTCAATCCTTTAGTTTTATCTTGCTTATCTTTCTCTGAAGATATACAAATGGGGATGTATAACTCAATAAAAAATTTAGTCTCACTAAAATTCTAAAATTGCCTTTTAAGATGTAATTTTAAGTTAGACATTTTTACAAATTAAATAATTAAGCTAATATTTTTAAAATTATGTTTTCAAACTAATATATTTTTGGAATAATTACCAAATTGTTTAGAAAAGTCAAGCATGGGTGATATTACCTGTCAAGATAACCCATTGTTACCTATATTCTAAGCAATCTGGCACAAATAGCATTTTAGCTCTCTGCTCAATGCCATTCTAAACACAAATCAAATTTAAAGTATAGTTACCTTTCTTCTTCTGTGATGGTGTGCTCAGTCTGTCTTTTTTCCCTTTAAAAAATGTACATTTGCAACAAAATTATTGATAAACAATTAATTGCTCCACATAAATTTCATCAAGACACTACACCAAACTTTCCCTATGGTGAAACCACTATCCTGTTAAAAGCTAATTGATGACTAATTAAATTTCTTTTTTAATTCTGGGATTTAAAAAATTGTAACTACAAAATGATGAAAATAATTCAATAATGATTTTTAAAATTCAACAACTGATATTTGATTTCAAAACGTGATGATTGTTTTCAGACTCCATTTAAGCTCTATTTGTCTAACCATTTTCTATCTGCACATATTAGTAGTCCTTACATATAACAGAAAGGGTTCCTCCTTAAATTACTGCTTCATCTTCCACACTTTCAAATTTGTTAGACATCAAGGTTCACTTATATTACCTTTTGTTAACTTTTTAGCACTGCGGCCTTTTCTTGGGGTTGAATCTTCCTCCTCTTCTTCTTCATCTTCATCATCATCTTCCTCTAGAAATTGCAGACAAAATAGAGTCATATATTATCCCTAAGCTATATCAAAAACTATTTGCCATTTTCTTTCTCCCAAAAAGTCAACTAAGTTCTAAAGTATTAAAAATAAATCATCAATGTATTTTTTTGTTTATGTGCAGCAAAAAAATGGTAGAGGAGGAAGGGAATTAAGGGAATTCATGATAAACAAGCAAAGAATTTGTTTTGTTACTATTTCTAACTGTAAAGAATTTTAATATCTAGTAAAATCAACTTAAGTTATCCTTTACTGTCTCTATGAATGACATAATGTGCAAACCTTCATCTCTGGCTGAATTTGCATTTTCCACCTCTTCCATTGCTTCTTCTTCTACTTCATCAGCTGTAGCTATCCCTTGCTCAACCCTGATAGCCCTATCTAAAATTTTCTCAGCTCTCTTTTGTTCACTCTGAGGTAGTTTGTAGCTGTCTTTTGAGACTTTTTCCATCTGGATCTCGGTGAGAACTGTTTCCATTTCAGTTGTGTCAACATAATCAAACTTGTAAATATCAGGTGGGGTTTCTAAGCTGAGCCATTGAATGCGCAGTTTTTTAGACTTGCTGTAGATGTTTTGTGCTGCACGGCAGAGGTAAAATATCCCTGAAAAAAATTAACATGTGAGGTAAACCTTTTTAATGTATCATTCTAATTTTCTTTAAATCAACCAAAGAGTTCTAAAGCACTGAAGCACAAAGGTGTTACCTGGTGCACTTATCTTCAATAGAGAGGAACAAAGGACGCTATGTAGACGTTAAAAGACAAAAAAGTTAAATGAAAAAACATTTGTTTTAAAATTTAACAATTAAAATAATAATGCAAACATAATAATTCAACCACTGGCTATTTAATTACCGATCCTTGCTTCAATTTAATTTTTTAAGGCCTTACCTTCTGCCCCCCGAACAGCTAAAAACGCTCCTTTTTTATACAAAGTGACATTTTCATCCTTTTTCTTGTCTTCTTTTTCAGGAGCAAAGCCTAATTCCTCCAAAGGTGACTGAAATCTTGACACTGGTACTCGTTGTCGCTTAAGAGGTGTGCGTGGCTCAACAACCTCTGACACACGTGCTTTACGCTAACAATAATGAAGATTTTTTTTTTCATACTTTTAAAAAAAAAAAATTCTATACAGAGATAAATTTATACATATGTATTAAAGTACTAATTGAGTTTAAATTATAATTTGAAATTTTAATTCCTACACATTTATTTAAAGTATTTTAAAAAATTAATTAGCCTATAAAAAGCAGAAATATCTTAAAAATGTCACCTTTTTCCCAGATGATGAAGCACCTGCTTCAGGAGAGGCTCCTGCATCTTTTTCATTTTTTGCGTCCATTTTATAAATCAGCTAATATGGCTGCATGTACCTGAAAATCATTGTAATATAAGTGATTTTGATTTTTTAACAATTTTAGCTGGATACAGTGTATTATGTGTTGTGCTTATTAATGTTAATGTGAAGCAGTTAGGGTTGCATTTTGTTTTAAATCTGTAGTTTTTTCCGTTTTCGCATTTGAAGCGGTTCAGCCAAAGAATGGAATAATTTTTTCAAAGCATAACGCCATAATTTAAGTAAACAAAATTGAATGTTGGTCACTATGGCGACTAAAATAATATTACTGTTGCTGTATTTTTCCAGATCATTGTGAAAATACAAAACAACAATATGACCATCAATACAAAATGTGGCGGTGATATTTTTATGATCTTTTAAAATACCTCCCCTGTACCCCCTCTCATGAACACTGGTACGCTCTAAGTCAACACCACCCCGCTTCTCCTCTCAGTGCATACATAATATAATTACAGATGGTCTCCAACCAATTGTATTTCTCATCCTATTCACTGGTCACTGCCGGATGTAGAAAGGATCTAAAGCTAACAACGGAAATTATATTTTATTTTCGAAGTGGCTATTTGGACCCGGGTCCGAGAAGTTAGAGGTTGGGATTAAAAAAAATTTTTTAATATTATTTTTCGGTTGTAAGACAAAATTTGGAATCAAATGAAAGATAATTGAATGTACTATATGTTTGTAAACTTAATTCTTAAGTTTAACTAAAATAAACTACCACAAATGACATCTGAATAGCACTGAGTCTAAAGGGACCTGGGTTTGAATAGAGACGATGCATTTCCGGTTCCATTTTGACTAAATGCTATTCGGATGTCATTGAAGAAGTTGATGAAGAAACTCCATAATTTCATTTAGGTCCAATAGAGTGAATTTGATGTGCTCTAAATCTAAATATTTACAATGATAATAAGGGGGGAGAGACTGCAATCAGGTTGGGTAGAAGGAAATATGTGAAACAAGGTGTGGGAAAAAAGACTAACAAAACAAAGAATGTGTCGGCAACTAGCATTCTGCAGCTTACAAAAAACAAGTCACACACATGTAAAATTAATGCAAACACTTAGCTGAAATGTAGTATCCTAGAAAGAGGACAGCAAGAGGGACATTCCTTTTGCGGTACTCTTGAATACTACATTTCCTGTGGTATTTTCTGCCAACTGCAGAGTTTATTTCATGGAAGAGTGGTGGTAAAAATCTTGGACTGCCCTGATCAGCTACGTTACTGTAATTCAGTAATTAATGTTACTAGTAATACTTATAATAAGCCTAATACTTATAAGCTAATGATAAATGTGTAGAAAACGGCATAGGTGATAAGTTTTGCCAAGAGTTGTCTCACCCTAAGTGCAGTGATGTCACTTTGGGGAATCCCAACACTGGACTTAGGGTGACAGGACCAACAGTTGGAGCTGAATGATGAGAATGATAAATTTCCGGTTCTTCATTGAGCGTTTTCACGTCAAAATCATACTCATACTCAATACAGTTAATAAAAAAGAAGTTAAAATTAAATTTTCCATTCTGTTTTTATTAAAAATTCAACTTAAAATTTTCAAAAGAAATAGAGAAAAATCATCCTAGCCGATACCCCAAGATGAATACCAGACGCCAGAAAAAAGATGTCCGCGTACTGAAAACAAAACGTATCAAACAGAGCTAAATTTCTAAAGATTTTGAGAAACGGAAATATGGCCAATATTTGACCTGGCGAACCTCCATGACCTATATACCGTGGAAAACAAAAAACATCGCTGGCCCTGCCGCTAACTGCATTTTAGCCTAAGTCAAGTGTAGTTAGTATAACTTATAACCAAGTATGTAAAAGTATATGTAAATAAGGTCTGTTACTACGTCTACTACTAGTACTAGATAATAGAATGATGGGTTACACAAAATATACAACCACAACTATTTATTGCTTTTCCAAGGCCTAGTCCCAATCCTAATCATCACATCAGCTTCATTCCTAAAATTAAAATCTTTAAAAATTACCAAGAAGATAGGCCAACTGGCAGGGGCTACTGAACTGGCTACTATCAATTAAAATTAAAGATTTACTTAGTTTAGTACTTTGTAGCTACAAAATGCATTAGCATTAGCTCTGTAGTCTACAATAGAGTAGAGGAAGAAAGAGTACTCTAATATCTAAGGCACAAAGTGGTTGCATTGCATGATTATTGCTGCTTGAAGTGCTTGACTGCGTGCACTTTCCTTGAACAGTGCAGTTTGAGTTTGAACAACACCACTACAGTCCCATATTATAACTAAATTGCGAATGTGCATATGCTTGCAACATGACAATAAAACCAATAAGCAATGCATTAGACTAAAAATAATTTATTTTATTAATAAAAGCATTACTTGAAACTCCAATTATATGTGTAACATATATTTAAAATCCAGTTTTAAATGCCGGTGACTACTTCTCTGGTCTACAAGGCCGCCATTTTTAGGCTAATCATGGGCATGGAGATTGAAGGCGGCAAAGATATATTTATTTTCATAGATTAAAAGAAAAATACATTTTGATTGCATCAAGTTAGCATTTATAAATACAGAATTAAACAAATAATTTTTTATAAGCCTTTTAAGTCGCAGTGTTATTAAATTATTGGAAAAAGCATTACAGCGTTTATCATGAACGGCAATGTTGTATTCAATAATGGAACAGCCAAAACAACTTGGCGGACTACCTTCTTTACCGTATTTAGTAATATAAATAGCAACTTACACCGTTAAAAGTTAAAATTTAGTTGTAGTGTATACTATGGCGTGGAAAATAAATGAATTGTGACATTGCAGTAAGGGCTTAAACAAAATATTTTATAAGCGAATATACAAGATAAGTAAAGCTTTATTAAGCACATAGTAAAAAGAATTATTTTTTTTAATTTTAGAGGCACACAATTGACCTTTTAACAAAAATTACCTTTTTGCGCCTGTTTCATTTTAAACTTAAATTTATGTATCCCCCTGCCTTTTTTCTAACTAAAAACTCGAAAATGATAGTGGAGTACACTGGGTTAAGAAGATCTCCTCAATTTATTATTTTGAATCACAGATAGTCTCAAAACAGAAACGAATGTCTACCAACCTACCTTTTAAGGTTTCATTTTAAACCAGGCCTGCACAACATACGACACGCCAGCAGCCCAGCACCCACTTTGCGGCCCGCGAAGTAAAGAAATGTTCTTTTTTATTACTATTTTATATTATTTTATTAATAGCTCCACCCTGTCCTATTTTCTTTCGGCCCGCACAAGTTTTTCATAAAGTATTACGGCCCACCTTACATTTTGAATTGTGCAGGCATGCTCTAAACATCACCGAGCAATGTGCGGAGTTCTAAAAGCCAGGTTTAATAAACTCAATACACTTTAATTAAAAGAAAAGATATGAAAGAGTTATATGGGATTTTTATGGTAAATAGTGTTTTTAAGTCGGCTACCGTGTTAAATCACGTTTCATAAACATCTTTTGAAGTATATAACAACAATCAAAATGCATAAACGGAGATGTTGGACTAACGGATTCATTCAACATAATGATAACAATAAACACCGAGTAGATGGTCAATACACTGTTTAAAAACAGCCTATGACTATTTTCAAGTATAGCAGATGGTACTCAAGGTGTAACGCTAAAAATTGAACAATTAACCATTGTACCTGTTACTTTAAGTTAATCAGAACTCATCAGAAATTACAAATGCACTATTTTGTGTGCTACCGGAATGCCTAGGGCACCACCAAGCTAAAGCTGGGGTACTGGAGCAGGAAAGTTTCGGGCTCTGTATTTGACAAATGTGTTAGGTAGGTAAAAGACTATGGCATGCCGGTCCAATCTTTTGCCAGACGAAGTGCACTATTAGTATTAGGACCACTTTCACAGCCACGGTGGAAATCTTGTCAAACTTAACACATCGGAACTAAGAAGGGAGTAAGTCATATTAACAACAGCGGAACGGTGCGTCCTGTCAGAACGTAAAAAAAAAACTTGTTTAAGGATGCAGAATAATTGGGTAGCGGGAAAAATATTAAAAAGGTCATCACGTAAAGTTTAAATGACCTCTAAATGGGCTGAGCCCAAAAACCAGGGAAAAAAGAGAAAAACGACTCCTTCCAGAGAGTCCGTTTTATGCAGCTCCTATTTCCCCTACTATGCGTTTGATTTTTACCATGGACAATGGAGAGGTATGTAGGTAACCATGCGAAGTTGTTCACTGATGGCTCTGGAAGGAAAGCCCTTATCCTATACCCAAATGAGAAACTTTCTGGATCTTTTCGGACTATGTTGTCGAACTTCAATGCGGAGCTTGAAGCTATCAACAAGACACTGGAAAGGGTTACAGTGCACTGCTTGAGTGGGAAATTACGGGACTCGGTATTGTAATCTTCACCGTTTCACGGTCGTCTCTCAAGGTCATGGAAAATATGTTAATGAATCACTCACTTGGTTGACGCCAGTAAAATGGCGTGGGCATCATCGAAAGGAATAGAGAAAAGGTCACGATGCAATGTGTCCCAGGTCTCGTGAACGTTTGGAGCAATGAACAACCAGATAATCTGCCAGTCAACATGCATCTGTATAAAGAATTCGTGGAAAGAAATTGTTTGACCGAAAAAAAATTATGGCAATTTTTTCAAACTGAAATTTGTTCAAAATGAAATTTGTTTAAATGTAGATTTATTTATTAATTTAAAAAAAAATTGTATATGGGAAAGTGTGGGTGAGAAATGAGAACCATGTAAACTTGTTAATAAATGTTTAGTTTTTCCTTGGTTAATCAAGTATGGACGGAACACTGCACGACTAAACCATACGTTAACAGGTTAAACCACAACATGGACCCGAAGTGCCGACAGCGCGCACTGGTCACAGAAACACCTATTAGCACGGGGAGGCTAGGGCGGCAGGCAGGTATTACTGTCCTAAATCGCATATGTGTTGTATGGCACAACCGAGCAGATGGAGCTTGTTGCCAACGTGTTAGCGGGGAAAATAAAGAGCTATTAGCATGACCCTCTCCCCAGCCAATATTAGTATTAAAAGTAGGGTAATCGTTTGGACTAGACAGGAGCTCCTCTGGGAGCGATATAATCTAAGATGAACAAGATTATTCAAATTAAGAAATTAGAACTATTAAAAAATTCAAAAATGGATAAAATTTCTTATTTTAATATTTGCCTTCTCAACATATTCTCCGGCTCCCTTTCCAGTCATTCACTGATCAAAGTCAAGATCATTTATTAGAGAAAATATGGTTTCCACTACAAGACTTGCCAAGTAAATCGCTAAATGAGCCAAAAGTATAAGTATTATCTGCAGATACAATTTTAACGTCAATAAAAAAACAATAACAATAAAGCAGCTTAAAAAGCCTTATTAGACATTTCAACATATGTATTATTACTTGTACTTCATATATTGAAAAAGCTTGGGACATTCTTTTAACGAAAACAACAAACCGAGACATGAAATTTTATGTGGATCTGGCAATTGCAGCGCGAATTTATGATTTTATCATACTCGTAAATCTAAAGTAGAACCATTCAATGGTGCATCGGGCTCAGTGGGCACCCGGGAAGATGTTCGATTTCAGAGTGTCCGCATATAATGTCTCAGAGATATTGGGTCGAATTTAGTGATGAGGGACAAAAGATGGTTTGAAATAAATTGTTCACCACACTTCTTATTTAAGTGTCCATGAAAAATATATGCATATCACGTGATTTTTTTTTTGGTTTGAAACAATTAATAAATAGAAATCGGGATTTCTAATTTGACATGTGACGTCATAAAGAGAAACTTAATTAATCATCGCCCCCAATGACCTCCTTGCCTCCTATGACAAAGGTAGCCAGGTCGACATGTCGATTCTCGACTTCTCTAAGGCCTTCGAACTTTTCCACACAGCTTTCTTCTACTCAAGCTCCACCACTACGGCACTACCGGCAACCTTCACTCATGGCTCTCAACATTCCTAACACAACGGACCATGCAAGTAATGGTGGACGGTGTCCGATCAGGGAAAGCCACCTTAGACTCAGGAGTTCCTCAAGGCACATTGCTGAGCCCCCTTCTCTTTCTCTTTTACATAATCGACCGCCCTGATACTGTAAAATCTCAAGTGAGGCTGTTTGCAGATGACTGTCTTGTCTACAGAAAGATAAACGGCTACGATGACAACAACCACCTCCAAGCATTTTTGAAGTGCCTTAGGAATTTGGGTGGACAAATGGGGCATGAAATATAACGAAACAAAATGCTACACAATGAACATCTCAAAAAAAAAAAAAAAACAAAATTTAAACAACAAAAAAAAAAAAATTTTTGAAGTGCCTTAGGAATTTGGGTGGACAAATGGGGCATGAAATATAACGAAACAAAATGCTACACAATGAACATCTCAAAAAAAAAAAAAAAATCAAATTTTACTCACTAAACAAGACAATTCTCCAACAAGTATCAAATAATCCATACTTTGGAATTCTCTTCTCGAATAACCTAAAATGGTCACCCCATATAAACAAAATTTCAAAAAAAGACAACCCCACACTAGGTTTCATCCGAAGAAATCTGCGCCACTGCCAAACCTCCTGCAAACGAAATGGCTATCTTGCACTCGTATGTCCAGTACTAGAATATGGTGCGATCATCCGGGACCCATACCTAAAGCAAGACGTGGACCAGATGGAGTGAATACAACGTAACGCAGTGCACTTCATCGCATTGACTAAAAATCCACCACTCCTGGCTTCGTCTCTGGCCTCTTAAAAAGATCTGACATCCCCTCCCTCAAAGACAGACGAGAAAAGCTTCGCCTAATATTCTTATATAAAGTTGTCATGGGGTTAGTGCCGGTCATCCCAGAAAACACATATCTCACCCTACAGAAGCCAGGTCGGTTCATCAGAGCCCTAACAGCTCACTAAACACTGATTTCAGCTCTAACAACCCTATAAACAATTACACCTGGAACAATAGCAAATGCTTCACTGTGCCTCGGTGTAACAAAGTCCAATATAAACAATCATTCATCCCACGCACAATAATCGCTTGGAACCACCTGGACAATGCCGCCGTGGACTCGACATCAGTCGAAAGCTTCAAGGCTGCCCTGGCATCTGCTAGGAACTGTTAGGATAGAAACATCGCTTCCCCAACCGTTGCCCATATGCCAGTATATTGATGCAGCAACGAAAACTACCAGAACCAGAATATGTAGTTTATAGTAAGAGTTGATGCAAGCTAATAATGTTTGGGGAGGTCACTCTTTATGGAAGTTCCTTTTGAAGAGCTTTCTTTATAAAATTAGAAGTGTGCTTTGGGCATATCACAGTCTCCACATACAAGACAGATTTACTGCTCGACAGTAGGGTCACAAGGGGGTGTGAACAGCACCGTGTGAAAAACGCACATGGGTGGGGGGGGGGACACCACTCAAAATACCATTTTGACAGTTCGTATTCCTAGTCTATTTTATAACGGAACTAAGTTATACATTTGAGAGCATGGTACGGTTGGCACCAGTACCAGCAGACGAGGGTGTCACAAAAGCAGGGTATTGCCAGAGCATTCAGACTTGGAGAATATCCACGGGGAAGTCTGAATGTGGGGGGGGGGCACTGTATGACACCAACCCTAGTGACACCACTGCTGTTTGATGAAGTTTATTACTGGAAACATGGACTCGATGATCTCATACCCTTACTCTAACTGCGCCCTGAGCGTGATGTGATTCAAATAATTTAACAAAAGGTTCGCTGTGCTAATGACATCAAGAGGGACCTTTATTATAGTCATGAGGAGAATCAGATGGTCTGTAGATTTTAGCATTTTATTTTCAATTTTCACATAGTACAGGTGGTGGTCGCAGGTTGCAGGCATAACATTTCACTAAGATCTCATATTCAAAAAGGCCTCAAATCTACACTTGGGCTTATTCATAAATATACGTAAGATGCGTAATACAAGTTATGATATTTAAGGTGCCGAACGTTGTGATGCGGAACAAAATTAATTAACTATAAACTATAGATTTCTATTACTTCTAATCTAAACTCTTTTGTATCTGAAATAATATTAGTAGCATCATTACGATTTTCGTTTTTCAACAAATCATTTCCGGTCCTATTAGAACGTGCGGGGACTGCAAATTCTTTCAACTCAAACGAAATGGCTCAAATCTTAAGTGGGACTAAAGCATCAAAGTAAAGCAAAAATCACATTAAATTTAGAGTGCTGCGTATTAAATATCATTATCTCATTGATTGTGCCTGTGAATGACGCGTTTCTTTGTCGCTTTTGTCTGACTGGCCAGCGCTTTTACTTTTACTTTCTGACTTTCAGTCTTTCAGTGTTTCACTTTCTGAGCGGAGCGAACTGAAACAAACTTTCAAATTTCAAGACAATCAAACACACTGCTCGACCCTAGGTCTATGCCTACACTTACAAGTGAAGAATACATATACATTTTTGGTAAAAGTGCATTTCAGGTGCATAGTTTATTTCTTAAGGAAACTTATATGAATTCTTCATTAATCATTAATTATGAACTCTGGCAGTAACTTGTAACAGTGCTAAATTTTCTTTTTTATTTGATTTCTAAAGTCTAAAAGCGTCTTTGAACAGCCCCCAATGTTACATTTACATAGCCGCAATTTTTTCACCTATAAGTTGGTATGCTAAGTGAAATTTTTGGTAAATTTTGACTACCATTGACAATATTTTCTCACATCTTGGCCTTGGTTAACTAACACGTCATGTAAAGTCATCTATCCCTATACTATGCCTAACCTGAACCCTAAATCAATCCCTATGCCTAACCTGATCCCTAAAATAATTTAGTAAAAATAAGCAAAGGGAAGTCACTCCCTGGAAAATAAGTCGTGGCAATCGTAACTAGGATTAGCCAAATTGGTAAACTGAAGGCATGCTCACAAAAAGAATTAAATATAGCGATGTCTGTGTGTGTGAAGTGTGTGTGTGTTAATTTTAAACTTAATAAAATATTCCATTTTGGGATAGGGGCCAAAAATATTTTTTTCCTTATATGACATGAGCTATACAAATATAATTTCAAAAAAGGCTCCTGCATGACTGAATGGATCTAGACCATGCATAGAACACATACTCATACACTTGATTATCCATATTCAAATTCTGAAGGGTACTGAACTCAAAGTCATAATATCCACCCTTTAGGTGCTGGGGGCACCAATGGGGAGATCATTCACGCTTGGGGCTGTTCAAAGTTGTAATAGAAGTCAAATAAATAGAAAGTTAGGGCTTTACAATTTAGTGTCTGTTAACTATTACTGCCTAGAGTTAATTTAATAAGAATGCACATAAGTTTATATGCGAAAATACAAAATTCGTTTAGAAACTGCACTTTTACCCAATTTGTTTTTTCCTTACCATAACCAACTGACAGTGATAGACAATAACAAAGACAATCCAGAATCCATATTTTAATTAATTAAAGTTTAAGGGACCATTGCATCAGCATGTCATGAAATTGTCAATCTTGGACTTGACAAGTCAATGAACTCACTTGTTTTTCTGACCATACTTGTTTTAAGCCTATTAATTATTTAATTTCATTGTCCATCTACAGACACTTTAAGACACCATGATGAAGCATGTAAAAATTGATAGTTTATCCCAATGTAAATTTCATGACTCGTGTCAATACATGTTACATCAACTCATTGTGGTAAAAGTGTAGTTCGTGGGTTTTGCCTAGAGTTGTCTCTCTAAGCACAGTAAGTTCACGTTGGGGAATCCCATCACTGGACTTAGGGTGCATAGATGAATAGTTGGTCCTGAACAATGTGTATGATAACTTTCCCATTCTTCACTCAGCATTATTCGCATCATAAACTATTTATAATGATCAAAATTTGGTTAGTTTTTATCCTAATTCAACTTACAAGGTTCAAAAGAAATTTTAATAATCTCATCCTTGCTGATACATCAAGAATAACACTGGGAAAAAAATGTGTATATTGTTAAAAGTGCTGTCTTTTGTTTTGATAGGTTGAAAAAAGAAGTACCCGCAAGCTATTCATTTCTATAATGTCACCATTTCACTTTCACAGGACATTTCAACATAATTTAATGGAGAGGAGGACCCCCTTTTTCAGGACAAAAAAATAAAAATTAAAATAAAACTTTCTCAAATAAATACAGAGCAAAAAATCAAAGTTGCTTGAATACAAAACTATGGCTGGTAGTTGAGCCTCCATAACATATTTACTGTGGAAGACATTGCCGCCCCTGCCACTGACTGTATTTTAGTTTTCATTGCCAATGTAAGGCATTGTTAGACTCAACCTCTTTCTCTACTTATACAATATACCAATAACCATCACTTCCCATTGGCATACCTAGTGGTGTTGATAGGATTAACAAAGTCTGGGGTTCCATCAAAGCAGCTGCCATTGGCTATGCAAAATAAAGGGCGGCAAAGGCACCTGAATAAAAGTCAGGGGAGAGGGATCAGTATTGACTAGTGACATCACATTAGAGTTGTTATAATCAGGTACTGAAATAAATGAGTATCATGAAACAAACAAATACCGGGTACTTACTTATAGATTTACAACTCAAAGGCAATTTTTCTTTACCAATGAAAATGTATTTTTTGTTTTAGGAAATTTTAAAATGCTTAAATATTGCTCTTGAAATACGCTGCTAATCTAGAAAAAGAACATAAAATGAATAATTTAGCATTGTTTTCCTTTTACCAAATTGGCTGCAATTTGAGGAAAAGCTATGATACTACAGCATGTTAATTTCTTTGTGTAAAAGAATTTTTCTGTGGTTTTCTCATACACTTTATACATAGCGTAGTAAGTGAAATTAAGCGTCTATAAGTTAAGGATTATTCAGCTATTTTAACCTTATTTTACTAAACATTATACAAATATTTGAAAAACAGCATCCAGCAAATAATTATTAATTAGATAATCATATAGGTGCCAACTTACCTACGTAAAATAACTTTACAGCGGTTTTTATATATTTGCAACCTGTGATCCTTTTGTGGCACACTGGTCTAATCAGTCATCTCAACTTTATGTTTTCGATACATGTGTTGTTGTTTTTTTCCATCATAGTGAAATCAAACAAAAGCTTAAGGAAGAGGTCATTCAATTCCAAACAGAATATCCAAACTTTAAGCCAGGTCTTGCGATCGTTCAGGTATTTACTCTTTATCTTTCATGTAAAAAGCCCGCTTGTACTGGCATATAAAATTTGATTAGTTTCAACATTGTATTGCTGCAAGAAAATTTTACAACAGGTTATCGAAATAAAATACTTTTCTCATATATGCACCTATAAATTAGTATAAATAGATTAATGAAGTGTTAGTGTTGCAGAACTTCAGTAATGTACAAAGTTGTTCAAAATGCATTTGATTAGGTTGGTGACAGAGATGACTCCAATGTATATATTGGCCAAAAGCTTAAATCAGCTGCTGAAGTAGGTGTTGAAGCTCAACACATTAAGCTCCCTCGCTCATCAACACAGCATGAGGTATCTACAAAATGAAGTTCTTTTTTAAAAATATTTTGTTCCTATTTTTTTTATATTGTTCTAATATTAAACAATTCTTCACTTGCAGTTTTGTCCTTCCTGTTATATGTGTGTTACCTCTGTTCTTCTATGATGTATAGATTATTTAAAATGCCCCCCCCCCCCCCCCCCCCCCCCACTTTTACCCACCTTGAGACTAACTGCTCTAGCAGTATTTTTTAATTATAAAAATTTAAGGAGCACTTAAGGAGCCAAATAGGCTAATTATAATCATTAAAAAATATAGCTTCCTTCACTCATCATAATATGTATACCTTACTTATATTTGATAATGTACATCTTATTCTTACAGGTGCTGGAGTGTGTGGAAAAACTAAATAATGACACAAGTGTTCATGGAATTATTGTTCAGGTGTTTAAATAATTTCATTTATAGTCTGTGCCAATGCTGCTCTTCTGATAATAAGCATATGATAAAATTAACCAAACCACATTTGATTTAACATAATTTTAAAAAAATCTTTCTCTTGCCAAGGGCCTTAATTTTCATATTGCAAGTGATAAGTTACATGTTTTTCTTTATACTTTTATTAAAATTATTTTTGTAAGCAAGTGAATTATCATGAAAGTAAGATTTTAAAGGAAAAAAAAAACAACACATTTTTTGATGTCCATGTTAATGTTTAACAATGCATTTTCAGCTCCCTCTAGAGAGTGACAATGTGATTGATGCTCACCTTGTAACTAATGCAATTCTTCCCAGCAAGGATGTTGATGGGTAAGCTTTCAAAATGTGTCAGCTGCTTAAATGCTTGTGCATGGTCAAGAATAAAATCAATGGGTGGATTTTTTGTATAAATGCCATGCTGTGCAAAGCATACATTTTTAGTTGGCTTATAAACAAAACAGGTCGCAGATGAATGTAAGAGTTAATGTCAGTTTTAACCCTCAAGAAGTTCATTTTTATTTGGAACTAGAATTGTTATAAGACCTATAGAATACACTTTAGATCGACATCCCCATAACTCACGCCCTTTATAAAGATGAAACGTGATCTTTTATTAGTTTTGTGTTGGTATATTTTGAGATATTTGTTATTGATATATCTATTATTAATGTATCTATTTTTCAGTGCTTTATTGCATAGTTTCTACTAAATCTTGAGAATGTAATTAACATTTACTGAAGATTCCTTATACTATTTTAGCTGATGAAATCCGTCAAAATATTAACTATTACAGTCATTTCAGCTTCATAATATTTAAATGCATTTTAAATTTCTGCATAAAACTTTCTCAGTTTACATCAGAGCAATGCTGGGCGTCTTGCTCGTGGTGACCTTGATAGCTGCATCCTGCCTTGCACTCCAAGAGGATGCATGGAACTTATAAAAAGAACAGGTACCTTTTAAAATCTCTACCACAAATGTATACATTGTAATTTGAAAAAATAATTTATAAGCTTACTTATACACAGATTTGAATAAATTTGAGATAGAAAACAAAGTATGAATTTTTGAAAATATATTTGTGTAAATGTGTCTAAATACTTGTGTAATAGTTCAAAGACTCAAATTTGCTAAAAGCATTTTTAGTCTCTAAGAAGAATATCTCTTTTATCAATTGCCATTTTTATTTATTATGTTAAAATAACATGTTCTTTTCAGGGGTTGATGTGCGAGGAAAGAATGCTGTTGTTCTTGGGCGTAGTAAGATTGTTGGTGCTCCAATGTCAGACCTACTGTTGTGGAATCATGCCACAGTAACAGTTTGCCATTCACAAACAGCTGACTTAAAAGCAGAGGTTTGTAGATCTCATTTCCATTATCCTTTTTACTTGTCTTTATGAACTTATCATTTAAAAAGGGGCAATTAAATAGTATAATCAGTTAAAATAATCAGTTAAAATAAAATTTTGGATTAGCCCTATTGTGCACTTCACAAATTTAGGAAATGTAAATAGTTGAAATATATAATAAAAAACTGGTTTTGGTTACGGCTACATGGATCAGCAAGGAATATTCATTCATACATTAATTTGATTTAAATCTTATTTCAAATATTTATTATAAAGTTAAGTCAAACCACTCAAATCTAATAAGGTTTCAAGAGCAGACATTCTTGTTGTGGGAATAGGAAAACCTGAATTAGTGAAAGGAGACTGGATCAAGCCTGGGGCAATAGTGATTGATTGTGGAATTAACTCAATACCAGGTAACACAGTTATCCAAAGAAAATTAATTATTTGTCTATGTCTTTACAGACAAGAATAGCTTCTTTTTTGCTATTTTTTGGCAAATTTAAAATGAGGTTACCCTTAATGTTAACTTGCCAAGTACTTTCAACAAGGGCTAACAATACAATCTTACATTTAAAAAAAAACATGAATTAATAAAATGCTCTATAAACTATTTTGACCGAACAAAAAAAGTATACTTTGCTTTAAATACTCATGAAAGAAAAAATAAATTGAAAAATAAAAAATTGTGATTTTCTATTTAAAAAATGAACTTTCCAAGGGAACTAATATATAATATTAACTTGAAATGTGAACAAACAATGCTTAGTTTTGGGATTTCATGATTTGTTTTTTAAAATAGAGAAAATATTTTTTAAAAGCTATTTATTCTCTGCGCATCTTCTCAGATGATACCAAACCGAGAGGCTATCGACTTGTGGGTGATGTTGAATATTCATCTGTTAAGGAAGTGGCTTCATGGATAACTCCAGTTCCTGGAGGTGTTGGGCCCATGACAGTGGCCATGTTATTGAAAAACACAGTTGACCAGGCTAAGAAAAGCTATGAAAAGCTGGCTGTAAGTATACAATTTTTTTTCCCCCTTCAATGATTTCCCAAATGCTAGGGTTTGGTATGTAATATTTGTGCACCTTTTACCCAGAATTGGCTTCACAATATAAGTTTAATTCTAAAATGAGAAGTAAACACTAAATCAGACTGTAAGAGGGGAATAGTATATATAATCTAAATATGCAATCTTATCTTATAAAAACGTTTTCTGGTCCATGTCGTCACTTTTTGTCCTTTTTTTTTCTTTGTGTGTGTGTATATCTGTATGTTTATTTTATATCCATTTTTTTCCCCAGTAGGTCCAATCAAGCAAGTAAAAAAATGGGGTTTATTGTACCAGTTTTGTTTTTCTTTAAACTATGTCCATCCACTTTTAGATAACATTTTATTTGTTAAAGATTATTGTAGTAATTCATTCCAAACTTAATCCTGCCACACTTATGTGTTCATATGTAATTTTTTTCTTTCCAAAGCTTCTTGGGTTTATGAAAACTTTAAAAAAATCTCATACAATATCAGTGTAAATACAAATTATTTTAAATTTAATGATATGATGTACTGAACAAAAAGAGATTTATTTGCATCAACATTTTATGATGAGAAACAATTTTCTTTAATATAAAATGTCTTTTACGGAAATAAAAATACTGATGATTAAAAGGCTCAAATAATTTGTTCAAATATGAAATTTAATCAAACGAAATACAATATTTACAAACTGTTTAAAGCTTCTTCAGTTCTACCCCTCCGCGACCGTTTTTTTTCTTTTTTTTTCTAATTTGAAATGCCTTGGATCATGCACAATATATTGAAAAATATATTAAATGGAATTGAAATGAAGACAGATAATGTAACAAATGAAAAGTTGTTTTTTTCAGTTAATATCACATGTATAACCAAAAATAAATTAATCTTGGAAAGAATCTCATGCAATGCTGAGCTATTTATTTTATTAATAGTTATTTTATTTTTAAGATTCCTTAGCATACATTATATTTAAAAAATATTCAATGCCAATTATTTGAAATTATATAGATATGAAGGAATTTCCAAATATTTACTTCAAAAAAGTTAATAATTTGTTACCATGTTTAATAAAAATTTACAAAATTTATATTGTGCTAAGATTCTTAGTTCTTTCAGTTATCACAATTGTTCTTGTTGCAGTTTTCACTATTAAGATAATGGATCTCAGATGATCAATTTTACTTGTATATGAATGAGTGTAAAAGAAATAGTCTAATTAAAAAACAATAAAATAATTTCACATGTCCACAGCGTATTTGTTGTGACTAGTGTTTTCTGTTCTGTTTGCGTCTCGCTGTCAGCTTTTTGTTAACTAAATAGTTAAGGAACTTGTTTAAATCTTGTAATCCCGTAAACAGAATTTTTGGTACTGAGAGAGTAGAATAAGGATGAAAGCTATAATTCTAAAGGATAGCAATGTTTGAAATTTGAGAGTTACTGGTGCACGTTTAGATTATTGTGTCTTGTTTTTTTACTAAAATTTTAACAGGACGGGTATTTTTTTTTCCCTGGAAGGTATACTTAGTATACTAACTTGGAAACCCATTTGGGCAAGTTAAAATGGTTTAACATTCTATTTTTTTAAATTTTAGAACCTCCAAAACATTTTTTCCTTCAACTATAAATGTGTTGAATGCAAAACTTATAAATTCTAAGTGATAACCTCTTTGTTTATGAAGCTAATAATTTTTTTTACATTATTTATCTTTCAAAATATTTTGGATCATGCATTTTTAAGATATATTTGGGATCCTTGATCGGTCTTTTTCAATTTAAAAAAATTTAACCAACTTCCCCACAGAGCTGAAATTCGGTTCACACCTTCCACATGTTAAATGCTTTAAAATAGATCTGTCATTTATTTTGTCAGAACTTGTTATATTGACCTGTTCCAGAACATACTAAGTTTAAAATTTCATATTTTTCTTTATCAAATTTTGTGATATAATTGGTGTCAAATCTCAGGGGGTGTTACTAAGAAAAATTACTAATTATAGAAAAGCATGCTATTTCATTTAAGAAAGTTCCCTGAATTTAAAAAGAAAAAAAAAAAACAAAGATTAAATTCTAACATAACGTGCAATAAAAAAAATAAAAATTTTAAAACAAATTTTACATTATTATCATTAAGTTCTTTTTAGTTTTATGTGTTACTACATTGCATGTATTCGTACACCTAAAATAACACTGACCTCAGGTGATGAGTTTTGAAAATTTCTTCGTGTGGACTGTAGGTTGCTACTGATTGGAGAATTCAGTATTTACAACTTAACCTCAAGGATCCTGTTCCAAGGTAAGCCAAGATATCAGCTTGATGAGGTAAGTACTTCGTTTTGACTTAAGATTTTAATACCAACTATGGTACTATGATTAACTTCAATCTCCCCTCCGTCTACATCAGTGCTGTCCAACCTTTTTGACTACTTGGGCCAAAAAAAAATTTCAGAAAAAACCAAGGGCCGCACATGACATCTCTAAAGAACTATTTAAAAAAATACTTTTTAGAAAAATGACTCACATTATTAATACTTATTACCTCATGCATAATGAATCATATATCTAATGCCAATATATGCTCATCGAGAATATAAATAAAGAGAATAAAAACTGTATCACTATTTAATGATATATTTTGCTTTGAATTGTTATTGTAATTTTCTTAATTTGAGGTAGCTATCATTAGCACCTGGCCTCATTAGATTTTCTTAATGTTCACCAGTCAAAGCGTTACATTTTTTTGGACTTGATGTTGATCATTACAGAGAATCCAGCTTCACTGATGTTGGACCAAAACATGGTCCAAAACTTTGTTATAACATTTTCATAGTTGTGGAAATTTACCAGAAGAAAAAAACGTCATCCAGAATTTATTTGGCCACACATCATTATGTTTATTTATAGAAACAAATACTTTTAAGAATCGTTCCTACTGTCCCTCACAATTCCTCACTGACTGAATTTCTCTGACTACAAACAAACACAACTTGCTTTCTAATCATTGAACAGCTCATACTCCGATCTCTGAATACCAAGTACTTGTCCCCAACGTCACAACAATACAGGATGGACACACACACTCTCCCATACCTGTCAAGACTATCGATTTAACATGATACCATAAATGGTTCACACTGCCAACCGTAGTCTTTCAATTGTGACACCCTTAGTACCTCGGTTCTCATCTCCACTACGCTGACCCGAAGATTTACCTCTTATATTATCATCATCCCACAATGAGCAGTAGTTTAACTCACGGTGCTCACTTATATATTTCATATAGATTGTCCCGTTGGTGGGGACATGGACACTTTTAAAATGACCAAATAGCTACTCATCAAGTTACTTTTGGTTTATCTGTTCATCTTTCCCAACGCCGTTAGTGATCATACACGATACCCTGAGACCCCTCCCAATTAAAAGCAACAGAAAGCAATTTTAAATCAACCAGGTTCCCAAATGGATGCTCTGCTGATGTGCTTAACATAAATAGCTGCTAATATTTTCACCCTAAAATGTTTAATTTTTTTACACACATCATAAAAATGTTTTAAAATTGTGGCGGGCCCATGGACCATGGGTTGGATAGCATTGGTATACATCAGCGGTTCTCAACCTGTGGGTCGTGACCCCTTTGGGGGTCGAATGACCACTTCCCAGGGGTCGCCTAAGACCATCGAGAAACACATATACTCTACAATTGTGAAGAAGCAACGGAAATAGTATTGTGGTTGGGGGTCACCAAAACAATTGGAATTGTATTAAAGGGTCGCAGCATTAGGAAGGTTGAGAACCACTGGTATACATGGACATTTCTCATTAACTAGCCACCAGCCTCTGCATTTCTTACCTTTGAGCTATGACTATACCGTTACTGTCACAATAAGACTAGCCTCGTCCTGGAGGTGGTTAGTGTCCGTTGAGAATTCTCCACCCACCCACTAGAGACCAACCGAAAGTGATTTTTCTGATTTCAGCCGAAGCCGAAAATAGGCCGAAAGTTTTAAAATGACTTTCGTCCGAAACCTAGAAAAGCCAAAAGTTAAAAATGACTTTTGGCCGAAACTGAAAATGAAATATTTAAATATTTTGAAATTCGTTTGTAGTTTGTTATTAAAGATCATTTAGTTTGTTCAAAAAAGATAGCTAAGTTTTTTCTTAAAGATCCCTTAGTTTGTGTTATTAAAAGATCGTTTAGTTTGTTGTTGAAGATCGCTTAGTTTTTTTATAATGTTCGCTTAGTTTGTTCTAATAGATAATTGATTTTGTTCCTTAAGATCAAATAGTTTGTTCTTAAAGATCTTAAAGTTTATTCTTATAAATTATTTAGTTTACTATTAAAGATCATTTGTTTTTGTTCTTAAAGATCATTTAGTTCGTTCTTAAAAATTGCTTAGTTTGTTCTTTAAGATCGTTTAGTTTTTTTATTAAAGATTGCTTAGATTGTTCTTAAAGATCGCTTAGATTGTTTTAAAGATTGTTTAGTTTGTTCTTAAATGTCACTTAGTTTGTTGTTAAATATCGTTTAGTTTGTTCTCAACTCTTAACTTGTTCTTAAAGATCGCTTTATTTGTTTTTAAAGATCACTTTATTTGTTTTAAAAGATCACTTCATTTGTTTTTAAAGATCGTTTATTTTGTCCTTAAAGATCGCTTAATTTGTTCTTAAAGATTGTTTAGTTTGTTCTTAAATGTCGCTTAGTTTGTGGTTAAATATCGCTTTCGCTGAGTAATAGATGACTGAAAACCTCAGTCACTTTCGGCCATCTTGCCAAAAGTCTAAGTCAATTTCGGCCGAAACTGAAAAAAAACGAAAGTTAACTTTTCTCTTTCTGCCGAAACCGAAATTATGCCGAAAGTTAACTTTCAGTTTCGGCCAAAACCGAAACTTGGCCGAAAGTGATAAAATGACAACTTTCGGCGCCGAAACCGAAGCCGAAATTCGGTCGGACTACCACCCACACTACCCAAGTTTTGTTTTTATCTCAGTGATATAGACATAGCCAAGTCCCAAGTACCCAAAGATGTCTCAGTTCTTGCTCAAGAAATCAACCTGCTCCATGAAGAGGTTGACTTGTACGGAAAGAAAAAGGCCAAGGTCTCACTGAAGGTGATAGACAGATTGAAGGCTCAGAAGGATGGAAAATATGTGGTTGTTGCTGGGTCAGTATTTTCTACCGAAAATAGTAAATAAAACAGGATTTTTGTGTCAAGGTTGTAGTGTCTTGGGAGCTTTGAGCAATCATAAATATTTATGTATTTTTAAAATGAGGGTTTCATTATTTATGTGTATGATAATGTAATTAAATTTGGAGTAAGTAGTTATTATATTTTCATCTATGTTAAATAAATATGTGCCAAAAACTCTTTAATTCTTAAAATAATACCAAGTTTGATAAATTCAATTAAGGAAATTAAATGCTAAAATATAACTAGATGACCTTGTCAGAATTAATTTAACAGTTAACATTTTTCCAACTTGGCTCTTAGTAAGCTGGCATCAGTAATTTGTTAAATGTTGCATCACATAGCATCACACCAACCCCTCTTGGTGAAGGTAAGAGTACCACAACTGTTGGACTGGCTCAAGCTCTTGGCGCCCATCTCAAGAAGAATGTATTTGCATGTGTCCGTCAGCCATCTCAAGGACCAACATTCGGAATTAAAGGTAAAAGTGATTTTTGCCAGAACTTAACAACTTAGAATCCAAAACATATGTACTTTTTATCATTTCTTTAATGTGTTGGTGGTTTTTGCAGTTGTTTTTGGAGTTGGTAATTTACTTATCCATCAGTTAAATAGTTAATTAACTGTTGGTAGGTAGTAAGGAAAAGTGGAAAACCTAAATATTTCTTAATTTTTAAGCCCCATGAAAAATGGGAACAAATATTAATTTATTTACAATGTAGGTCTAGAAAGTTTCTTTATCTCATCTTTAAAAGAGATTGTTACAACAGAAATGAATACATTTCAACTTAAAATATTTGAATTTTTAAATAGGCGGGGCAGCAGGTGGAGGCTACTCTCAAGTAATTCCCATGGAGGAGTTCAACCTGCATCTCACCGGAGATCTCCATGCCATCACGGCTGCCAATAATCTTCTTGCTGCTGCCATTGAGGCCAGGATGTTTCACGAGGCTACCCAATCAGACCAAGCCCTGTACAAACGGCTAGTCCCTGACAACAAAGGTCAGCGAGATTTCTGCCCCATTCAATTGCGAAGGCTACAGGTAAGGAAAGATAGGTCCTTCATGTATTTATATTTTTATATTTCAGTCAGCAAACATAATCAGCAACTTGATTTATATTAAATAACTTAGCGTGTCCCTTAAATATAAACATTTTATAAATTACTTAGCTTGTCCCATATATACAAATATTTTATAAACATTAAGATTCAAATGTTCTGATTTATTTCTTAAATGACACAATTATAACCAAGTTGTCAGTAATAGATTTAAGTGGCAATACATATTGGGTTATTTTATTTATTATTTATTTATGCCTTTTTCCTTGCCTGGGGCTTAGGCTGTCTACAAGAATTTTCCATTCATTTCTGTCCTGTGCTTTCGTTTCCAGTTGCTTCCAAGTGTATCCCATACTTTGTGTGTCTGCCTATAGCTTGCGCCTCCATGTGTTCTTTGGCCTTCCTCTCTTCCTTTTTCACTGTGGATTCCATGTTAGTGATTTGTCTGGTGATATTGTCTGAGGGTTTACAAACAGCGTGCCCTATCCACCTTCAACTTTCCTTATGATGTCTTCAGCAATAGGCTCTTGGTATGTCCTTTCAAGTAAGTCATTGATAATTTTTTGCCATTTTTTGTTCAGGATCTTTCTAAGGCCAGTGTTTGTGAAAGTCTGTACTTTCTGCGTGATGCTTACTTTTGTTCTCCAAGGATTGTATTGACCTTTGTTTTGACAATTCTGACTTTGGTTTGCAGAGTCAGCTCCTTTAACTCCCATATTTTCTTTAATATCACAAAAGCTGATCTAGCCTTTCCAATTCTATGGACTTTTCTACAATGATGCTTAGTGTTGCAATATGGTCTGTGCATGGCCTGTTTTTGCGGAAGCCAGCCTGTTGATCTCGTTGCAAGTCGACCTGGTCCTTCATTCTATGCAGAATAATTATGTTAAAGACATTTTATAGTACGTACAGTTGTGTGATTCCTCTTGATGAAGTATTCTTCTTTCCAATCTTTTGGAACTCTCTTCTTCCCATATCTTTTCAAACAGTGGGTGTGGCACATTGACTATTGCATATCTATCTGCTCTCATCATCTCTGTTGTGATGTTATCTGGTCCCAATTTTAAGCTGTTTGATAGCCTGGGCTATTTCTTCCTTATTTGGGGCCCTGTCTTCTATCTGTAAATCTTCATTTGCTGGTTTTGTGGCATTGTTTCTTGGTTGTAAATGGTGTGTCTGTGGGTGATGGTCTGTTTAGTAATTCCTCAATTCTTTTGGTTTCGTTACTGATCTACCTTGCTTGTCTTTAACCGGTCTCTCTGGCTTCTTGTATCTTCCTGAGACCTTTCTTGTTATATCATAGAGCTTTTTCGTGTTCCCCTTTCTGGCTGCTTCTTCTGCCGTTGACGCTAGACCATCTATGTTCTGTCCTATGTTTTATCCTTTTTACTACTGATCTTTACCCTTCCATAGGCTTCTTTATATTTCTCCTGTGCTTTTGTTTTCTCTGCTCTCATGCGGCAGACTTCATGTCTTTTCCCAATCTTAGTATTTAGATCTCCCATTATGATATTCAGATCTCTACCTGTAAATTTTTCTAGTATGGCTATTGTAGAAAGCTTCTTATTCATCTATCTTACTATCGTTGGGTGCATAGCAATGTATTTCATCCATATTTATTGTCTTCTTCACTGTCTGCAATGTTGCTGTAATAATTCTTGTGCCATGTGTGACATCATGAAAGCAACTCCTTGTGTGTTTGTTGAGCATTTCCTCCTCATGCTCTCAGTAAATTAATGTTTCTCCCGAGACCAGTGTTAACTGAACAGCTTGTTTCGGAATGCAGAGCAGGGTGAGCTTGTATGTTCTAATTTCTGCTGTCACTTGTGCTAATTTGCCTGTTTTGTACATGGTTGTAACATTCCACTAGCCTATGTTTATTGCCTTTGAAAGGAGGGTCCTTAGGCTTTGAAGCTTCCAGTATAACCTGGGCACAAGGCTTAATAACTCTACTTTGGAAAGAAAAGCCCTCTCTTATCATAGCTGAAATTGCTTGGTTTTTTTCTTCTTCTTTTTGACGTTTCTGCAGCAATGAGTTTTTGTACAGGTGAGTTAGCTGGCCTTACGCCACTCCTCCTTTTGCACTAGGGCTTGGGACCAGCCATGATGAAGTTACATATTGTATAACATGACTTAATTCAACCTCTGTTACTGAATTTAATTTTACAAACTGTCATTGTTAATTTAAGCACAACTTGTTTGAGACCTATGTCAGGCACAGACACCCTTACATTTTTGGATCCTTGTTCATAACATTCTTCTTAAAAACTAATTTTGATTTTATTCCTCTTATCACGTAAGCTTAACATAAATAACCTTGAATTCTATTATGGATCTTCCAGAAACAATGTTATAGTAAATGTATTATAATTTCATTTTGATTCAATATAGAAACTAGGCATTGCCAAAACAAACCCAAAAGATCTAACTGCAGAGGAAATCAAAAACTTTGTTCGACTTGACATTGACAAGGCTACAATCACATGGCAGAGAGGTTATTATTTGAGGATGGTTTTAATTTTAACTTAAAGGAAGCATAGGTTTAAGTTAAATTGTATCAATATATATTCATAAATATGACTACATCTGGGATATTACTAGTAATGCATTTGGTATGGTTTCTCATTTGCTTTATATGCTTTGATTTATGAATCCTGTTATTCTTCTATATAAAGCATAAGGTTTTCCCCAAAAAAATATTCTTACTTCATTCCAGTAATTGACACTAATGACAGATTTCTTCGTAAGATTACAATTGGTCAAGGCTCTCAAGAGAAGGGACATGAAAGAGAGGTAAATATAGGAGCTATAAAATTCAATTTTAAAAAAATTCAAACTATATAAAAATACCTTTAAAAATTTTTGTATGCAAAATCTTTTAGCTTGACATCTTTCATTTAGATATTATTTAACTCTTATTTCCCTGACTAAAATAGGTCCAGTTTGATATAACGGTTGCCAGTGAGATAATGGCTGTCCTTGCTCTGACTACCAGTCTTCGTGATATGAGGGAAAGGCTTGGAAGGATGGTTGTTGCAAGCAACAAGAGTGGCGTCCCCATCACTGCGGATGATTTAGTTAATAAAAACTTGTGGTTGAAATGAAAAATTGATTTAAATAGGTAGAGGTCTAGAATATGAATGAGAGGATTCATCAATCTGGTGTTTATATGAATTGATTTAAATTCTTTATGTTTAAAATAATTAAATTTAAGGATATGACGATTTATATATCTTGATCTAGTTATCTGAAATGTTTTTAATAATTGGTAAAACATTGATAGTAGTTATTTAAGTATAAAAGTGTTTGCCTTGATCTAAGTGATACACAAAATCAGCTTAAACTTCAATACAAATATGCTAATTATTCAATCATCAGACACATAAAACTGTTTCATACATCCACAGGGAGTGGGTGGAGCCCTTACTGTCTTGATGAAGGATACCATTAGACCAAATCTCATGCAGACATTAGAGGTAACACAGCTTCTTGAATTCTGGCATTGTTTATTTGTTGTCAATTCCACAATTTTTATATTAAAGTTTAAATTCCTGATGGTTGCAACTAAATGTGTCCTTGGGGGCTCTGGTGGATGAGTCCCATCGCGTAGCAAAAAATCTCTCATTTATATTTAAAAAAATCTTTTGCAAATGTAAATCAATGGCAAAACGGAGTTCCTTCCCTGTCTTCAGTAATATAAATTAAGTCCAGACGTAGCACTGACGCCAGGAATGAGTTGAAGACGTAGGAAACATTTTGTCCATGAAACATTTCCACTAAAAATATCCCGACATTATTTACAAGCGATTCCAAACTCCATTATTATAGATGATAGATATTAAATAGTTCCGAACTGTTTCTAAAAATAGCAGATATACAATAAAGGAGGAGACGTTTATCAGATCAGATAAAAGGAACTGTATATAAGGCAGGGGAAAACCTGGTTTTAATTGGTTTTAAAAAGTAGGGGGTGGAGAAAAGATTAAAAAAGTGAAGTAAAACATGACATTCAAAGTTCCATAGGTGTGGATAGTTTGTTCTCTAGGCTCACCAAGTGGGTGTGTTGGTAGAGGAAACAATAACTGTAATGGGCAGTTCACCGGCGGTGGTTGCTTCTATTGAAGTGGGACAATATTTGACTTAGCAATATTGTGAAGGTGTTCAGTACATTTGTCTGAAAGTCGCCGACCAGTCTCCTTCAGATAGGCCATAAGGTAGTGGGTACAAATAATGGCGTAGATAAATTGCGGCTTGTGGAAAAGAAACCATCCCTTATCAGAAAACTACCCTTGGTGAAGAGAAAATTAGCTGATACATTAACTAGCCTATCAACATGCTTACAATTATAATATCATACTTAATTTGTACACTGAAGCTAAGCACATATTAAACTCAATGAACTATTGACAGAATGTTTCATCTCTAAATTAAACTGCTGAATGCATCAGGACATCAGAACACATGAGTGTAAATATAAAATTAAAAACTGCTGTTCATGTGAGCTCTGTTTCATTTCAAATGCATGCATTCCCAGCAGTATCCTAATGTTGTTTTAGATTACTGCTGCTTCATATAAGCCACAACTTAAATTACTAATTTCTCCACACAAAAAATTTTTTTCCTCAGGGGACACCAGTTTTTGTACATGCTGGCCCATTTGCAAATATTGCTCATGGTAACTCTTCCATTCTTGCAGACAAGATTGCACTTAAGCTGGTGGGGGAAAATGGATTTGTTGGTAAGTTCATTTTTTCACCAAAAATAAATAAAATATACCTTTGACAAATATCTTCATAAATATTTTTTTACAAATATTTGAGGGACATCTGAAATATTTAGTATCAATAAAACTTGTTATTATTCATTTATAATCTGAGAATAGTTTAAAAATAGTTTTAATTTATTAAGTTCTTAAAATTGTGTGTATGCTCTCTTCCCCCCCCCCCCCACCCCCCTTTTTTCCCCCATCTGTGTGTATGCTCTCTTCCCCCCCCCCCCACCCCCCTTTTTTCCCCCATCACATTACATTAATATTCTATCTTAGCTTGTAAACTATCATTTGCTAGCTACAAACTATACTTTCATCTAGAGAACAAGATCAAGATAAAATTTCACAAATTGTATCCATTTAACATGTTCATGACAAAAACTAACATCTTTTCAAAATCACTGGATCTTTTAATAATCTATTTAACTACAGTTCAAAAAATATAATCGATAATTACATGTTTAAAATCTACATATAAATGTATTTTCTCTGGCTGAAACGTATTATCTAATCCAAACATATAGTTTCCTTCATCATGTATTAATTGGAATTGACAAATAAATATTTTTCCATTTTTTGTATTGCTTGTTATTTTCTCATGACTCATTTTCAACAATCCATCTAGTTACTGAAGCTGGGTTTGGTGCTGACATTGGAATGGAAAAATTCTTCAACATCAAGTGCCGCTACTCAGGCCTTCAGCCTAATGCTGTTGTTCTAGTTGCCACAATCAGGGCCTTGAAGATGCATGGTGGTGGACCTACAGTGGTGGCTGGGGTACCTCTTCCAAAAGAATACAGAGAAGAAGTAAGTGTTCAAACAGTGCAAGGTATTTCCCTCATTTGAGTTAGAATGTACATGGCCATTCAACTTATAATGTAGTTTACCTCTGACTGTTACAATAAAAGAATGCCTTCATGTTAAATTAATATAATGCTTTCCTTCAATAACCAATGAAATGTTGCTCAAATGGATTAAAAAACTATTTTTAGTTTTTAAATATGTATTTATTATTCATGATAAATAAAATAATGGCTACTTAAAGTTAAAGAGAGCATGATGTTTTAACACTCTGTAATCAGTGTTAGAGTTTAAAATTGTCAGTTTAATTTAAATCAATTGATCCTGGTCTTTAGTTGTTAGCTGAATTATTAATTGAGTCAACAGCAAATAATTAAAATTAGCACCAAAAAATTTCTTTATAAACTTTTTGAAAATTAGTGGACTAAACCAGCTTTACTGTCTTTAAAATGTTCACTCCTAAAAACAATTTCTTGTCCTTTCTTCCTTTGTTTGGAATACACAAGTGCAGAGGATCCAATTTTTAGTGTCTTATTTAATCTTGTATAATTTATATTCATTATATACATGACCCCCGCACAGCTTTCTAATCATCTTTATACTCAATTATCCATTTCTTTTTAAAAATTAAATCTCTTAATATTTGCAGAAATTCCATGTTTGACTTATACAATTATATTTGTAATGGCTGACAAGCAACACTATGATTTTGAAGTTTGGTTTAATTATATAATGCTTATCTAGCTTTTTACTTCAGAACCTGACACTAGTGCAACAAGGCTGCAGCAATCTGATTAAACAAATTCAGAACGCTAATAAGTTTGGAGTTCCAGTTGTTGTTGCTATTAATGGATTTGCGTGAGTAATAATGTTGTAGTATGTCATTTCATTTTCATTGGGGCACATTGTTTTAATATGATTAAATTCAAAAATATAAAAAATATATTTTTATTTCCAATTTAAAAATTGATTAGCCTCATACTACAGCTATTTATTTTAAAAATTTTAATCCCACGCTTATTTGGCTGGCTAACAAAATATATTTATACAATATGTTTTACAAGTAACATTTATATTACTAAATGATTAAAATGTTCTTTTTAAAGAACTGATACACAAGCAGAACTAGAGCTTGTTCAACAAATTTCCCGAGAAAATGGTGCCTTTGATGCTGTCATCTGCTACCACTGGGCTAAAGGAGGTCAAGGTGCAGTGGATTTAGCCTCAGCTGTCGACCGTGCTACTGGACAGCCAAGTGATTTCAGATTCCTGTATGATGTAAAGGTACTATATACTAAGAGACAATTTAAAAGTTATTCTTTATGAAGGTATCTAAATTCATTTTAAAATTTGATCAATCTGGACTCAGTTTTGGACGTATTATCTAATTGTTGATTAATTTATTATCACCAAACCATTAAGGTTCCATTTAAAAATAATTTCAATATCATTTTTTCGAACTAAAAAAATCTTATATAATATACCATAAATTTTTCATATTTTTATCTTAACTGAAAAAAACAAGATCAAAATAATTATTTATTAAAAGTTTTCTACTTCTCAGTATATTGTATAGTATCTAATTGCTGAAGTGAACATTTGTTTTTATTTTTCTACAAAATAAATAACTAGAAGCTGTTTTGCTCTTTTAGCTGCCAATTGAAGTAAAGATTGAGACCATTGCTAAAGAAATTTATGGAGCTGCTGGCATTGAATTAGAACCTTTGGCAAGGGAGCAAATAGATCGCTACAAGAAACAAGTAAGACTTATTGATCATGGTATAGTGTTGACTCCTATGGGACTGTAAGAATTTTTAAAACAACTCCTACCATAGATGCAGGTGAAAAATATTGAAAGATATATTATGGTAACTAAATAGATGTAAAAAGTAATTCAAGAGCAACTTTATGAAAATGTCTAGTATTTTTATGCAATGTTTCATATAAAACTTCTCTGCTGTTGTGAACACCGGCTATATTCTATTTGATTTGAATCACACAGGGATTCAATGACCTTCCGATTTGCATGGCAAAAACTCACCTTTCCTTGTCACACAAGCCAGAGCTCAAGGGTGCCCCAACTGGATTTATCCTGCCCATAAGAGAGGCCAGAGCCAGCATTGGAGCAGGGTTCATTTATCCCTTGGTTGGAACTGTAAGTATCTCAGTAATGCTTTATTGAACTCTTTGAATGTATGTTACAGGTCTCTCAAAATTTAAAAAAATTATAAGATGACCGCCACTCAAAACATTACACCTTCTATAAACCATATCCGCCCAAATTATTTTAAGAAATATTTTTTAAAAATTAAGTTATTTGCATAAATAGTGTTTACCTGTAAGATAGAGATGCTATTTTCCCACTTTTGATGCTAGTTTATTGGCTATAATATTTTATTTTATTTCACAGATGAGTACTATGCCTGGTCTACCTACTCGTCCTTGCTTCTATGACATAGACATTGACCCAGACACAGAGGAGATTTTAGGGCTATCGTAACCCAAGTGTCGGCCATATTAGCTCTTCTTCCAAAAGTAACTTCTCTATAGTCCTAATCTTGTTTTAGAAAATAATTACTACATGTCAACTATAAGTAATACTGTCATGAGTTTGATTATAAATATAATACGAAAAGGCTGAAAAATTAATCCTATATAAGATAAGATAAGATTCTTTTTTTGATCCAAATAAATGGAAATGTTTTTTGATTGCATTATACATTTTCAGCACATAAATAAAACAATTTGAACACAAGACATTTACAATAAATTATTTCAAACAGCCATTCAGTGAGTTCTTTTAGCCGAATCTGGGACTTATTAGTTCTCATGAAGATGTGTGACTTCAGAGGGAGCACGCAGGTAAATTCGTACAGATTAGTTAGTTGCAGTTCTGTTTTTCAAAAGAAATTAACATAAAAATGCAACTTAGTTATTTAAAAAAAAGAGAATAATTTGAAACTAAATGGATATTTGGTAGTTAATTAAATTATTAGCTGATGTTACTCTTTAGAATAATTTTAATACTGGAATTGAAGAATATGTTGAACACAAATAAAAAGCCTTATTATTTTGGATTAGTGCCAGGGCTACCAATTATGGAGAGTTGATAAAAATAAATTGATATAAAATGACCTGTCTGTGAAAGATTGTGAGACCATCTGGCCGTATGTAAAAAAGAAGAAATTATACTTTAAGTTTTGTATTATCGGGAAAGAGATCAGAAAAATATATTATCCTGTATTGGTCAACTGTGTGACCATTATTATAAAGATAGAAGCAGGAGGAATGAAATATTGAAAAATAATGTACAATAAGCCAGTGCCGTAATTATAAGTTCATATTGAGCTTTTTTGTACTCTTGTAGGTCATAATCATATGGATAGGACAATTTTATCATTAAAATTGTGTCAGCAAAATGTATTTATTGAGTTGGCAATCTTTTTTATTGCTGAAAATAGCCCCAGAAAATTTTCAAGACTTATGTATTTGAGTTGATTAGCACATGATTTTTCTAATCGCCCAAAATAAACATATTGAAATAGTTCAAACATGTTTCAATTTAAAAAAAAAAAAATAGATCAACTGTTTAAAACAAATATAAGCTTAATGTATCAAGATTGCATTACTCAGATATTTTGCTTTTTGGGATATTTGATTTGCCCATAATAATGTTGCAGTATTTATGTCCGATCTGTTTAATAATTAATTAAAATTTATTCCCTTTATGCGACAAATTTCTTGCTGAAAGACCTGATCGTGTATCATGAAAAGAGGGCTGCTTTGATGTAATCAGACAGTTTAATGGCTTTTTGGATAATCCTTTTATTGTCTTTAATGATCACAGCCAGGTTAAATTGTTGTGTTCATTTTTATAACATAAACTCTTGATGATTTTTTTCAGAAAATTATCATTATGGTATGGTACGCAATTCTGAAAATGCGTAAATACAAATGCAAGTTATTAATTTTTTGAAACCAGAAATATTTAAAGTTAATTGCTTCTGTGTTTGAGATATAACATCCATTTGGAAAAAGTTGTTTCAAACATGTATGAGTACGCTATTGGTTTTTGGAAATGTATGGTGCATAAATATATAGTTAAGAAGTTTATAAACAGATTTCATTTTCCATTTACCTGGATTATTTCGAGTTTACTGTATTTTGGAAATGCTAATTTAGATGTGAAATGCTCAAAAATCTTGGGAGGATGGTAATTTTTCATTTATGAACTTTTTATGTCATATTGTAGTATTATAAAAGGTGGATTTATTTTGTGCAGGCATGTGCACATTTTTTTTCCTAGGACTGGTGCTAAGTCAAGGGAATGGTACCTGTTTTGATGGAAAATCTAATTGATGATCATCTGCAGAATTTGGAATAAAATCCTTGCAACTGCAGTCAATAATCTTTTAAACGCTCACTGTGAGTTTATGTTTGAATTTCTACTGGGGGCTGAATATAAAGTTGTCTTCTGCAGATGAAATAAAAATCTGGCCGGGGTTAGCACATGCATATGGCTTTATAGAAATGTGTTTTTTTGTTACTACATGTATATTTAAACTTGTTAATGTTATACAATTATTTCATAATTGATGCATTTGTTCTTCATACATCCCATATCCCAGTTTCAAAAGATTAATAAATAAGTTATACTGAGAAAAATTTGTTTCTTTCATATTATCCACAATGCAGAGTTAAGATACGGGTAACAATTGTTTACCAGACTCTAATTTTTAGTGCCTAAAGCATCTCCCTCCCATCAATGATATGCGGCTTGATCAGCACACAAAAACAAAACTCATTGTTAATTATATCTTTTTTCCTTTAATAACATGTTTATAAGTTAAAAAATTATAGTAGAAACAATTGAATTTACAAATACTATAAAAGATTTTAAAAAATATCTGCTTAAGTACCATTGCATTTAAAACATTAAATTACAATCATTATTAAAGTTGAATTTAAAGACTTCTGTCATTTATAAGTGGCATGCAATAGATACATTCACAAGAGTATACAAAATTATTATATCCCTTCTACAATTAAAAAAAATATTTAAAAAATTTATAGACTATAAATGTAATGATACAAGTTACAAACAACTCAAATATTGTTTCATTAAAAATAATTTTTAGAAGGTTTCCTTGCTATTTTTTAGCACAGTGTCAAAGTTTTCAGTTTCTCAAAAAATTAGTAAAAAACAACCAAAATTGTTAAATATCCAAAATTTGCTGCAGTCACTATTCATAAGTTTATGAAAACAGCAGTTTCTTTGAGAAAACCCCAAAATTAAAAAATAAAATAAAAACTTGCCTCGGTCAATATTCAGAAAGTTTATGACAACATTCTGCTAAACAGGGGAGAGGGCAGCATGGCAATTAATTTTTTTGGCGGGTCGCATGATAATTTTCTATGAATCAAGTCATATTGCTGGGGTGTACTAAGGAACAGATCTTTAAAATACAGTGTAACAATTTTTAGCTGTTAAATTTCAACTCCTATGAAATCACAGGGGTTTGTAGGCTTGGCTAGGTATTTCAAAGATTAAAGGGAGTTTACTTTTAATAATTCTATATTCATGATGGTTGGGTTCAGTATAATTGAGATGTTCTTCTTCTATATATTGAGGGCTCATGATCAATTTATAGATCATTCTGGCTCCTATGTATATAGAGGGAATTTGCAATGTTTCTGTGCCTGGTATTGGAGAGGATATTTCACTGGTTGCAAGTGCTACTCATCGAGGGTATCATGAACTGGGGGGTTGGAAGGCCTGAGGCAATAGACGCAAATGTGTCAAGTGTTGTCGCCTCAACTGTTCCTTTTGGAAGTTTGTTCCAGTCCCCAATTGTCTTTGGCAGGGACGAGCAGTTTTTGTACTGTGTTCTTTGGTGAGACCCTGCACACTTTATTGTTGATTTTGAAATTATATTGTTAAGTTCACAAAGATTATTTCAATTTATTTAAATGCACATGATATAAATTCTTGTGGTCAATTTTTACTGTCATTCTTCAGGGCCTCTTTAACACTAAGTGGAGATAATTTTTTCTTGTTTCTGGAAACAAAGTCCCGAACAGCGTCTGGATCTGTCTTGTAATATTCCCTCAGGGCCCATCCTATAGCTTTTTGTATAAAGAACTCTTCTTTATGAGCTACCTTGAGAGAATACCTAAAATAAAGTTTATTTTTACAGATATGTAATTCATTTAAAATCAATGGTAAAAGACATAAAAAATATATTGTTCTCTAAAATTTAGAAAGAAATACAAATAATAATAAAAATGGAATATTTATATAATTTAATCAGCATGATCAAAAACTTGTTCCTCATATATTGATTTATTCTGCTGCCAGAAATTGGCCTTTAAAACTTTGAAATAAGTAACTGTTTTGAGATACTTTAAAACATTATTTTAAATGAATTTATAGATACAAAAATGTGGCTTAAAAAATTCATTATATCTGATATTTATAAACTCCTTACCTAAAAAGACGTTCCACATTGGTGAAGGCTTTAAAGCTTAACTGATGCAGAATGGATGTACGACATAACCAGCGGTTTTCATCTAAATTCCAGTTGTCCAATATTGGCAAGAGCTCCTCTGGATAATCTCTGACCATAGGACCTATGACTAAATCAAAATCATTAAGTCAAATTAATTGACATTTAAATTTTTAAACATTTAAACACTGGCAACCTGGTAGTGAAAGCTATATGTGTAAATACTGAAAGATATCGATGGAATGTCTCAAGTTTAAAAAATATGGTGCTTTGTTACAGACGCTGATTAGGGCTAGTAATTTGGATGCTACGATACAACACAAAAACAAATTTATATTCAGATTGATACAATTTTATAGCGAAAAGTGAATAAAAAATTATTTTAATAATCTGCCATTAGTTATTAGTACATAATAACATTAAGCTTAAAGTTTATTAAAGTAATTCCTCCACATATCAAGCTAGTTACCTTTTGGTGCCAAAGTGTCCACTGTGTCCCACCAGCTGTTTGGGTGAACCAAAAACTCCCTAACAAATTCCATAGTTTTTACAGCCTGTTCACTGGCAGGCAGCCCATCATCAGCAAAGATACGGTCCTTTTCTTTCTCCAACATTTCCACAGTGAAATAATGAAATTCTCTTTCGGGGGAGAGCCAAGTCTGATGAGCCAAGATGCGCAAGGCTGATGAGCTGAGATTGCTGACATCTTTCCATAGCTGGTGATGGTTAGAAATCATTCAAAATAATTTATTCTTGACGCTTCTCTTGGAAAAAGCAATATAAATGGACTTCTAGTCTCTGTGTGTCATTAATACAATTTAAAAAAATAGGTTAACTCACAAATTAATTGAATTTTTAATAGGATAAATTACACACAAAAAATTAAAATTAAATACATAATTTACTCTATTGACATGGGCTTAATCTGGATCTGCCTCTGAGCAGTCATTAATTTTCAACACATATTTATCCTTTTTCACACTGGTAAGTACTTAGATACTGCCATAGAAAGATTTCAACGTCCCTGCATTAACATAAGTTTTGGACAGTATTGCTAAAACAGTGTGCCCTTAAAGACATTGTTGTTTTTCTATCCAGGGTGAACAGAGATTCTAATAAGAAATAATTAAAATATAAAATATATGTGTATACTTTTTGCCTTCATTTTATGTTACTTATTAGCTTCTATCATACAAAAGTATACAAAAATATGAAACCGAGCTACTTTCTCTCTCAAATATTTGTTAAGGACTGCTGCTAGCAGTTGGCAGTATGGGTTGATTAACCTATTTACACAAATATAAGATGAGGTGAAGCTTATAAAAATTTAAGTCTTCTGAGTTATTTGCTGATTTTTCCACACTTTTTTTTTCCTTACATCTTTATATAAAGCTCTTCGTTCAGGAGTAGGAATGCCAAAGTATTCAAACTGATTTCTCATATATTTGGACATGGCAGCAGCTTTGTCGGTGTGTCGTGCACTTTCAAATCGATCACACAGAATGCGAAATATGTGAATTTCTTTATTATCAACGCGACCTTTCAAATTCTCCAGTCTCTTTGTGTAGAGGTTGTAAAGCTCATCATAACTTAATGACAATTGACCATTAATGCTTATATTTTTGGCCTGGTATTTTAAAACTTCTGGTTTGGATCTTGATGGATCTCTACTCCTCACATTAGTGCTGTCTCCTGAAGTTTCAATATGATCGTCATCTGGTACAGTGCTATCAGGGGTATTAGCTTTTGACCTAACTTTCCTTTTCTTGGTGTTAGTACCTGCGTAGTTAACCCCATTTGTTGGAATGCTTTTATCCTCGGATGATAATCTGATGCCAGAATCTCCTGATTTGGCTCTTCTTTTTCTAGTGGTGGTCAGTTCACATTTGACATTGTTTGTTTTTATCAATCTTGAAGTTTTTCCGTTTATGCGTGTTGCATAACTTTTTTTCTGCAGAGTTACAATTTCATGCTTTGAATACTTTGATGGTTGCTCCTCTGTAATTTCTAAAGGAACCAGCTGCCTTCTTACTCTCAGATTAGGCATGAATCTAAGAAATTAAAATAAAAGATATGAATACTTCAAAATAATAATAATTATGATAAAAATATTGTAAGAATAAAGAATACTTTGATGACATTTTTTTAAAAGTTAAATAATATTAAATTTAAATATATTAATATTAAATCCAATGGCTAACAATGTAACTGTTGTCTCCCCCAAACATGCCTAACATACGAAATACAATAGACCTTTGAATAGTGATCTTACAATATCACAACATGACTGACAATGTACTCAATGAATATGAACACAAAGTGACTTAATGAGCCATTATATAATACTAGGGTAAAAGTGCAGTTCAGGTGCGTATATTATTTCTGTTTGAATCTCTTATTTTCCCGTGTAAACTTATGTTAATTCTTTATAAAAAGTATTTTAAAAGTTATATACCATCTTTTTATTGGAATACAACAACAATTTAACAAATTTTACGAGATAAAAAAGTACATTTTTATGAATCTTTCGTGTTTTACGGAGCCATTGTTGGTAAATCAAGGATAACTCTTCTGTCTTTAAAGATACTTTATAAAAGTTGCCCAATTAGATGAATCTTGTTAAAATAAATGATGTATTTATTTTATAACTTTACTATCAACTATAACCGGAGTTGCCCGGAGCTACATTCAGACAAAAACATCTGCTACGTCCTTTTAGTTCACATTGCTGTTAAAGATGAATCTTGTTAAAATAAATGATGTATTTATTTTATAACTTTACTATCAACTATAACCGGAGTTGCCCGGAGCTACATTCAGACAAAAACATCTGCTACGTCCTTTTAGTTCACATTGCTGTTAAACGAAATTTCAACAACAAAACAACAACACTATAGTAAAAATAATAATAATTAATTTGTCTCCTATTAAAAACAAGTAAAATAACTTATGTAAACCTTTCGTTTTTCCCGTTTTCCGATGGCACCCGGGAGGATCATGATGTGATCCCGAACCCGATGTGATTCCGATAGAATCCTGGTCATGGTGGGATCCCGATCCCGGTAAGATACCGATCCCGGTGAGATCCGTTTCCGGTGTTATCCCAAACTAAATGAGATCCCAATCCGGTGGGATCCCGTTTCGGTGAGATTCC